CGAGTCGGGAAAGCCACCAATGGACTCAGGAAGACCTGCCAAATCGAATGATATGCGATATGACCTTTTTCGATCAACTTCGTGACCTGGGGGTGCTGACCTGACCTTGACCTGAGGTCAACACCCCAAGTTGACCTGACCCGGACAAAAAGTATATCATTCGACGCGCCTGAGCGAGACGAACACGATGCTGCCAAAATCGGCGCTCTGCGGCCGTTTTTTGCGAAGTTATTCACCAAAAACTGAACCGTACCTTGGGGCACTTGACCTGACCTCAGAGGTCACCGGTTGACCTAGGACCTTAAAATCGGGTACCAATCTCTGCGTCTCGTAACGGCGCACACGCTCGTTTTTCCCGCGACGCGCTAGCTTCACCAGGGGCGAAACGGCGAGGGGGGGTCGTACCCGCCCCCCCCCCCCCCCCTCGGCCGGCGCGTATGTAGAAAACCAATAGGTCCGGCGAGGGTTAAGAAGCTGTTCATCTGTCTGGGCAGTCTCAGGAAGTCCATTCTTTACAGTGCTCACCCTTGCAAACGGAGCATTCAATAATGTGTGCACATATGCTGTCTGGTTGTGCGGCTAGGCACGCTCAGGGAAAAGGACTGCAAAAGTGCAGAAGCACAGTCAATGCCTATTTAGTAGTGTAGTATGGACGATATCTACCCGTATACCCATTGCGGATGAACATGCTATCATGTCGTGATCTTCTCTCAAATACAGATGTCAGCTTGAAATGTTTTGGTAAGGCTGTGTAAGACAGAGGTCAGAGAGGGTGTTTTAGGCGGCAGTGCGCGTTGAACCACATCAAAAACTTGTGCTCGATCGGCATGACCCTGTGTGCGCAGCAGCGGCTCCGTTCCAAATCACACAGCAATACTCTAGGGTTGAGGGCACATAATAGGTACTTGCATAGCACGAGGCGAGGACCGACAGAACCTTGAGCCTTGAGACATTCTCTCGGGTTGGCTCCAGGACGCCTAGATCGCGATTCGCTTTGACGACGGTTTCATTGACGTAAGGCCCAAATGTCAATTTTGTGTCTAAAATGACGCCGCCTAAATGCCATTTACTGTTCATATTTGTTTACAAATAGTGCGACGCACACAACCATCAAATTTGATAAACTTCTGAGGCTACGTCATTGCAATTGGTGATAAATACGATGTGGCATTCCTAAATTACCTTACAGAATACAAGCAAATGTAGCTTGACGATTGACCCCTAATAGATGAATCGCTGCAGGGGAGCCCCAGAGAACGGCACTCATGGGGCCAGGTCGTCGAACATTTGAAACATGCGTACTGCGTAGTTTGGAGCTTTATCGGGCCCATTTTCCTCAACTAGGTGTGTGCCCTACTTTTGAGTTTTGTGTACGTGAGCAATTGGCCTCTGTTTGTTTTTATTCGGCTGTATTAGCTGCACCGTTTACGTCACTTCTGATTCCAGGACCTATTTCACGTGCAGCAAATGTAAAAAGTCCGGCGACGAAATGGCTACTGATGTTTGTCACATTAAAATTGTCTCTTGCGAGGCCAACTTGTTCCGTTTGGTTGAGCGTTTACGGTCTAGCGTAATGGGAAACGAACTTTTCATACACGTCTTTGGTATCGTTACATAACATATCATGCGATTTGCAGATGCCTTAGCGATGCCAATCCAATTTTGACTGGATTACATTGATAAGCGGCTTCGACAAAAATACTAGGAATTCATGGAACGGAGTAGCACCCATGTCTGTTCCGTGTTTTCCTCAAATAAGGTGCTACTTCATTTCAGCATGCGTGCTTACAACGTCAGGTGCAACGTCTCGTTAGGAGTGCATTTTATCAAATTCCTAAAGGAAGATGACAATACGGTAAGGTAGAGTTCAGTCGACCAGTTTTTGTGGGGGGTCTTATGGTCGATCAGAGCATCTCACGGCCATGGATGAGATGAGATAGGAGGAAGACATTGGACTGGTGGAGCTACCAGCCGTGTGCCGCGGTGGCTGAGCACGTCCCAATAGGATTTGACTGACCCGAAGGACAGTTCGTTCAGCCTGAATTAAAACGGTCACTCTGAGCCGCTTAATGCCGATATGAGAGTTGCCGGCAGCAGCTGGCTTGGATTGCGTTTAACCTGTTCAGAACCATTGCAGAACCATCTTCATAACATTTAGAACCCATATCACTTGAATTCATTCCCTTGTTGCTGCGAATGGTGAGCTCTGCTAATGCCATATACTTTGCTACCTCGTCCTGCAATGTTATCATATGGTGATAGCAATGCTGTATGTATGTATTGCGATAGTTATTCCTCGCTCAGTAGCGTCATCTATAGCTCCATACTCCCAAGTCCCAGGGCATGTGCACACTGCACACAACAGATGACTCGACAGTGCCAAAAGTACAGGTAAACCGTGCTACGTGTTGTTCCAGCTACCCGATATGCCTGCACCATAGATAGGTTATTTGGGAGCTGGGTACGGTGATTTGGCCGGATCTACCTAGGGATTGGAGACTTATGGTTCAAGCAATTACTCTGCAGCGTCATCAATGACGAATTTCAATGTTTCGTATCTAATTTAACCCGCGCCCCACTGGGGGTGGGGGGGCTATTCATAGCCCCCTCCCGTTTTTCTGCAATTACTTCCAAACCAATTGACGTATCGACGCCAAACTTTCACAACCTTCGGCTGCATCAATTTGACACCTTGTGTCAAAATTTGAAGTTCGTAGCTACCATAGGTCGGCCGGAAATGACGTCAGAGTGACGTCATGTTCGTCCGATTTCGACGCAAAACATTGAACCACGACAATCGCTTCCAAGAGCTCAGTTTTTAAGCTAGATCCAATTTTTTGCATGAAAGGACTCAGAATTGACTGCGCTATCAAACTGCCTTCTCGGACTTTCAAAGTTATGAAAATTTCGAAAATTTGATATAATATTATTCACAATTTATATTTTTATATTTTTTCAAAAAGTTTTTGACTTTTCGAAAAAAAACGGAATATATGTGACAGAACACATGCTTATGACTAGCTCTAGCAAGTTTTAGCTAAATATCTTCAAAAATGGCCAAGTTATACGCATTATAGCTAAAATTTTACAATTTTAATTTTTTTTTCAAATCAATTTTTCTGTACAAATTTGACATCGTACACCAATATAAATAGCACCATCGTGTTTCTGAGCTCAAACTGCATCCGATAGACACCTTTTTGTTGAAACATTTTGACTTTAAAATTTGACCTTTTTTGACCTGAAAGTGACCTCACCTATGCTAAAATCCGACTCAAAATGACCTCGAATGACACAAACGACATCAAATGCGAAATCTATGGCCTACATGGACCATAAAACATGTGTCACTGACCGACACATGATATAATATTTCCGTGACCTGTGATGACCTGACCGTGACCTGAAAATCAAAGTACAAGTTTGGTACCCTCTAGGTATCTAGAGCATCTGTTCACGAGTGTGTAAACAAAAAATGAGCCTGATCTGACTTGTATGACGGCGGCCAGAGCACAAAATGTGAACAAGCCAAAATGCTAATAATTTTTACTTTGACCTGACCTGTGACGTCATCGATGACCTCGAGGTCAATGAAATCAGGCTTCGCTCGACAGTTTTTCCGGGGCTATCAGATTCAGACGCCGTTTGAATTCTGACGATCGGCCCAGTAGTTTCGGAGTTAGGAGGGGGGCTATGGAGAGCCCCCCCCCCCCCTAGTAGGGCGTGTTCGGTGTTATACGCAGACCCCAGTGGGGCGCGAGGAGTCGGCGTTTAACTGTGTTTCGGGCAGCAAGTTAAGCTCGATTCGAGTGATTTAAACATTTTGTCAGCAATTTAATCCTCGCCGGACCTATTGGTTTTCTACATACGCGCCGGCCGAGGGGGGGGGGCGGGTACGACCCCCCTCGCCATTTCGCCCCTGGTGGAGCTAGCGCGTCGCGGAAAAAACGAGCGTGTGCGCCGTTACGAGACGCAGAGATTGGTACCCGATTTTAAGGTCCTAGGTCAACCGGTGACCTCTGAGGTCAGGTCAAGTGCCCCAGGGTACGGTTCAGTTTTTGGTGAATAACTTCGCAAAAAACGGCCGCAGAGCCGCGATTTTGGCAGCATCGTGTTCGCCTCGCTCAGGCGCGTCGAATGACATACTTTTTGTTCGGGTCAGGTCTCTCTGAGAGAGAGAGAGAGAGAGAGAGAGAGAGAGAGAGAGAGAGAGAGAGAGAGAGAGAGAGGGGGGGGGGATAAAGTGTGCCATGTGCCTCATTGTGTTACGATCGCACAATGGCCCCGAGGTTGAGTTAAGTTACACGGGTATTTTTTCTTCTCTTTTGGGGGTGGGGGTGGGGGTTGATAATCGGTACATCCTGGAAACCATTATGAATCACACAAAACGTGGCCGACTTTGGTCCCTCCTTTAAAAATGGCTGGATTCGCTGGTACTGTTCATTGCACAATGAACCTACAGCTATAGATCGGCACCAACCACTTAGCAGCTCCGTATTCCCAAAAAGTCTGCCTGACTAACTTTCCCTCTGACCCCAGTCAAATAAGCCGTAAATGCAATTCTGAACGGATTTGTATTCTAAAACGTCACAACTATCGAGAAAAAAAGACGGATTTGCTAGTAGGTATAGCTTGCGGGACCCGGGAACACACGACACCACAATGCGTGAATATGTTAACAGTCAAAACATTCAATGTTCTACAACTTTTCTAACGGTGAGTTATCAATTTTGGTTCAACGTCATGGGCTATTACTTATTTATTAGTTTTTGAGTCGAACTTAAAAGCCGTTTATCAATTTAAAAGTGGTCCTAGGAAAATAAAAAAATGGCTTGACTTTTCAATCAATTTTGTCAGTTTCATCACATCTGAGCAGACTGCGGCAAAGTTGCCTCTCTATTCTAATAACACAGTGTCGTGTCCAATCCCGTTTAAACGCAAAAACAACCTTTGTTTGTTAAGATTTAAAAGCATATCTATGGTGGTTTCAAACACGTCAATTTGATGCTGCATTTATTGTTCCATCAGCCTGCTAGGAACACATAGCGGTCAACGCCGCGGCACTGATTTACTTTCCGTAGGCGACCGGCTTGTTGATGTTGCAGGGTCCACCGCCACAAGGGGAAGAGATGCCCGGGAGACCACCAGTCGTGGAGCTGGACTGGGAGCTCTTGCTGGAGCTGCTCTCAAACGACGAGCTGGAGGACTGGGCTCCGTGCGAGGCGCCGCAGGTGGAGCACGTCTTGGTGACCGTCACCACGGGCGTCACCACCTGGCCGCTGCCGGACGAGAAGTGCGACGAGCTGCCGCCGCTCTGGCTGGAGCGGCTGCTCTCGAACGAGCTGGAGGACGACTCGGAGGACTTGGAGCTGTGCGATCCTCCTGAGGAGATGGTGCTGTGGCTGGGCACGGTCACCACGTGGCCGCCCGACTCCCTGAACACCTGCTGGCCAGAGTTGGTCGACTGCAGACCGCCAGACTGCAGGCTGCTGGCCGTGTTGTGGGCCAGACCCTGGAACAGAGGAGGACGCGTGACGGTCATAAGGCGAACGTGTGACGGTCATTTCCTTGCGTGACGCCACCAGCGATTGCGTGTCGATGCTACAATTGTCATTAGCGAGTGTTTTTCGTGTAGGCTTCATTTGATTATAAGCGATCCTTTGAAATGGATTATAAAAACAATGAGGAAAGTACGTCACTGGGCGACGGTATGCTGTTATTGTGTGGAATAAAAATAACGATGACTTTGCAACAAACATACGTTAACATTAACTAGAAGCATTCATGTAGCATGGTATGTCTCTTCAAATCAAACCGCATGTTTTTTATGTACGAAATATCTAGTTTTGCAAACCCTAGGTATAACGGTTGCAGAAACAAATGTTCGAATTCTTACCGAGGCTCCCTTGGTGACACTGTGAGAGTTCTCCTTGGTGGTCACAGCGTGGGTAGTCTTGGTGGTCTTGGTCACAGTGTCTCCGCATCCGACACCGGTACAGCCGGAGGTCACGGGCACAACGGGGGCTCCACAGCTAGGTCCGCTGCAGCCGGGGGCGACGGGAACTACCACTTGGCTGCCGCAGCCGGCGCTGCCGCATCCTCCGGAGGTCTGGCGGCTGCTGCTGGAGTGGAAGCTGGACTGCTTGCTGCTGCTGCTGCCGCCGCAGCTGAGGCCACTGCAGCCGCCAGCGACGGGGATGGCGGCCCCTCCTCCGCCGCACTGCGGGGTCCCGCAGCCGCTGGTGTAGACCCGGCCGGCCAGAGCCACCGACAGCAGAGTCACGAATACTGCCAACACCTTCATGATGCCGATACTACAGAAGGCCAAAGGAAGCATACTGCGTCAGAACGAATTCGGATCGGAACGCCACATAACATAGCCACTGGTGCGCTCAGGACTTTGTGAGGAAACTCGTAGCATCGAGGAGAAACTTCTTATGTTCACCGCTGTGACAAAAGAATTTATGAAAATTGACTCTTCCATACCTGCGTAGTTCCTTTGCACATGTCTATTGTATGTCTGTCCATTTAGGTTATTATAGAGCACTCAAACAAACGTTAAGTTCTTCCATATGATGTGAGAAGTAAAAGTGCCTACTTGTTTAGTCAATGTGCTTTGTACGGGCCGTAACTTTTATATCCAGAAGTTTTGGCTCGGTGGGTATCTACCCTAAGTGTGTTACTCTATTTTGCAGCGAGGGCATTAGGCAACCAAGGCTCAAATAACCAGGCATTCGAAGCCTTCTTCTCCAAAGATAACACTCTTCAGTCCACGGTCTTCAAAACATTCAAAGCTTTTAAACCAATTACATCGGACTCGTTAAATACGATGCATAAGGCAGGTATATATTGCAGAGCCTGAGAACATCCGCTCACCTGTGTTTGTTGCCTCCTTGTTTGAAGAGTGGCCATCTTCCACACTGCCTTCGTATTTATACTGGGGCTCGTGACGTGATAGGCTGTAAGTGACATCACAGGTTTTCCGAATTGGCCACCATCCGAGGAATCGCCGCCTGGCCGGATGGAGTGCTGGAAGTTTGTGTTTGGGCTGGTTGTTATGTAAACCGGATAGCCATGCATGCTGGAAATCCCTTTTAGCGCCTTATAGTGTGCAGTATCCAAAGCGAAACGTAAAAACGGATAGATGCAGTACCGCTTTGGTATGGCACAGAGCGCAACTCGCATGAAATGGGCTGTTCGAGAAACGAAAAGTCGAGAGTGAAACGCGATTCAAAGAGAGTTCTCCGGTAGTTTGCAGTTACTGGGATTTTCGATCAGTGAACTTTGAAGTCAATTTAGGTTTGTTTCAAGACAATTATTTCCAGTTATCTTATGAACGCCACTTACCACTTGTCAAATTAATGTTGGCAGAGGAAGATGGGTGTTAATCGTATTATTGGCGGGCTCCTGACTATAAGTGGCAGGGGGGCTGTTTAGAACCCCCTTGATATCTCGGTATATAATCTCCCGAGTTTCAAAATTCAAACTGCATTCGATTCCGCTTAACAAAATCTACATTTTTAAAAAAGAAAAGTCCCCAAAAAGTACCTAAATGGGGGCCGCTAGGGGGTAAAAACCTCAAATTGCAGATGTTTTTTTTTTACTGTTCACCACAACCAATTTTAACCCAACTGCTGTCGATCGATGCAGAATGAACGAGAATTAACGTGTATCATAAAAATTGTCATTTAACCCTCGCCCCGTTGGGGGGGGGGGCCATTTTGGCCCCCCCTGTGGTTTTTCCTGAATAGCAAGAAAACGGCGGCGCGCAGCGCCGCCAAATTTTCAGTACCTTCCCGGGCATCAATTTGACACCTTCACACCAAATTTCAAGTCTTAGGTCACCTTAGGTCAGGAGTTATTGAGGTCAGACTGAGGTCATGTTCGAGCAAAAATGAGCAAAAAACATGCAATCTTGAAACGCTCACCAAATCTACAGTTATCAAGCAATTTCAAAGTTCTTTATATGGTCTAGTAGACAAAAGGCGGCGCTACAAAACTGCTATCTCGGATTTTCAAAATTTTTGGTTTTTGACCCAAAAAAAAAACAAAAAATTGATTTTTTTAGAAAAACTTTGAAAAAATCCAAAAATTTTCCGAATTTCGAAAAAACCAGAATATATGTGATAGTCCCAGCGCTCTTCCATATACATACCAAATTTCAGATCGATATCTTGTTTTTTGGCCAAGTTATAGCGAAAAAACTGTTCAAAAATGATGACGTCAAATTTTTGAACTCAATTTTTAGCAATTCTAGACCTCGTACGGCAAAATAAAGACCACCATTGAACTCCCCGTGACGAGCTGCATCGATTCGATACCCATTTTATGCAAAAATATTAACTTTGAAATTTGACCTAATTTGACCTGACCTTGACCTGACCTTGACCTGACCTTGACCAAAACGTGATCTAAGCTGGCCCCAAAGGCTGCCTGACCCATATAATCGCATTTGTCATGTAAAATGGACCATAAAACATGTATCACACGACACTTTCATATTGTGACCCCCCCGTGACCTGACCTCTGTGACCTGACCTGGTATCAGTGACCTCAAATAGCAAAATATGTGTTTGAAGAACATTTCCCCATCGATGATTTTCAATGAAATGCATTTTACTCGATTTTACAACGCATTTCTTGAAGTGCCTGTAAACGGTGAAAATTGGACCTTTGACCTGACCTGTGACGTCATCGGTTTGACCTAGGTCAATAAAATTGGGTCACAAGGTAGTTCCCCGTTGGGGCTATCCAACGCCGTTTACCGCTTGTCGCTATGTTGCGTGGTTCTCGAGATCTTAGGGGGGGCCAAAATGGCCCCCCCCCAACCGGGCGCGTTGCTCGGCAGAGCCCAACGGGGCGCGGGTTAACCCGCGCACCGACAGGGGTCTGCGTAAACTTAGAACCGACGGGGGGGGGGCGGATGACCGCCCCCTCCCCCTGAGATCTCGAGAACGAAGCAAGATAGCGACAAGCGGTAAACGGCATGGGGTACGCAGTACGCACGGACAAGGTCTACAATTTTTACTTAGGTCATTTTTAGGTCAGGTCAAAGATGACGTCACAGGGGTCAAAAAAGTCAAAATGGCGGCGCAAAATATGGAGATATTTTTCTCGAATAACTTTCGAATTGGTCAAGATAGGAACAAACTAAGGGCACCATCGTGATCCTCTCGTCATTCCACAGCGAACCATATATGTATATGTTGACGTCGAAAGGTCAAAGTCAAAGGTTGACCTCAGGTCACGTGACCTCGAGGTCATCATGTACATCATTCGATGCGCCTTGACGAGCTGAACACAATGAGACCATCCGCGCGGCTGTATCTTGTTCCTGTAAGGAGTTATTGGCAGAAACCTTCGGTGACCGTTGATGACGTCACATGACCTTACAGCTGCCCAGCAGCAAAACAGGCCTCAAGGTAGTGAAGGTTGATCGTATATGAAGTCATGTATGGTTTATGGGGCCATTCCGACCCGTTTTAGTGGAAAAAACAGGAAGTTGATTTTCCCCCATTGACTTATAATATGGGGAGGTCGAGAAATTGACCTGACCTTAGGTCATCGATATCAAAATTCCGAGATGCACAAATTGTAGCTACCAATGACCTTATAACATCCTCTGACTTTCAAAGGACTCCGTTTCAATCGGAGGACTCCGACTCAATCGGGCTTTTCGTCGGTGCATCACCAAAACGGGTTGGCAATGGTCTTATTATGTTACGAAAACGTGTGCTAGAATGACTAAAAGTGGATTGGTAATTCATAGGTAGTTGGCGTCAAGACACCGAAGCTGCAGGGTGAAATCGACATCCCTTTCTTTTCCCTGGAACCGCCTATGATCTATCTCTTGCTCACTTTTGAACCTGCAATACCTATACGAGTAATGTTGATACAGGGTGATCCAAAAAAATTGGAATCCCTAACTTAAAATGTATATAAGTCCAAAAGTATTCATTTTATTGACAAATTGCGAACACCATTAGAAAGAGCATTAAATTCTCTATAAAATCACGTCAAATTGGTGCATGTATGTTTGTACGTAAAGCATTGGCGCACTATTAGCTTTTGGAATGAGCGTCAGAAAACTGAGTGAAGCGAAATCGCCAAATGTTAACAATGCGCTGAAATCTGTTAGCACTCTATCTGTTGTCTTTTTGCGAATAACACCACATCCAGATTCAATTTTATTACATAAAAGCACTGAACTCTATAATGGAAGCACACAGTAGAACAGATACACGCGTCCTAGCTTCCGCTGTTCATCCCAACATGTGCTCAACGCGAGCTCCGTGGGCCGTCACGCAGGCCTGCAGTTGCTTGGGGACAGCTCCGACTGCGCGGGCCAGCAGTCTCTGGGACAATTGGTCCCATGGCAGGCCGTCAGCCTTTCCTTTCCTTACAATAGCACGTGAATGAGCTACTTTTATTTATGAACCTCCAACAAGCGACATGTTCAGAACAGCAAACCGTCAATCATTGATTTGCGCATAATGTTCAAAACCGTTTCACTGAGTTTCGTGACACAAATTTTATAGGCATATGTCTAGGGCAATATTTATAGTAATAATAACTACAATCAACTTGGTTTTATAGAGAATTGAACGTTCTTTCTAATGGTGTTTGCAATTTGTCAATAAAGTGAAAATTTTCTGATTTACAGACATTTTAAGTTAGGGGTTCCAATTTTTTTTGGATCACCCTGTAAGTGTACATACCTATAGTTACCTACAGAATGAATGCATACAGTTATAATGCATTAGAATCGTGATCTTCACCCAAATGACTCACTTCACGAATTGGACCTCCCGATTTCCGATGCCCTGGAACCGCCCCTGTTGAAGCTATCAATTTTACATTTTCAGTGGATGAGCCCTAGTTTTAGAAAAAGTCAGAAAATTTCAGCATCATCGACCTAGCTGTTTTGCAGATATTCCCGAAAAAATAAGCTTGGTGGATGAATCCCCCCTCAATGCCACTAATAGGGTTAAAACGCTCGATTGAGATCGGCTAAATCCAGGAACTGCAGGCCTGAGAGAAAAACTTTATTGGTAAGAAATGATCAACTTGTCATTACCACTCATTACGGGTTATTACCATTGAAATAGGTGAAGAAGCGGATGTATTTAGCAGTGCACCGCACAAAAATCATGAACTTCGTAACAGACTTACGACTGAGCAGCTTGCAAATACGAGTATTAAAGGTTAACTTATATCTCTACTCGACGTCACAATCACGACATCCTGATGAATTCGATAAGCCTGTGAATGCATGACCTTGCCGTACCTATATTGTTCCGTGTGGGTCCGACGTCTTTAACAGGAGCGAAGATGTTCGGGAGCGAGGGCGTAGCCAATTGCATTCGTGTCCACCGGCGTGCTTCGGTGAGATAAATTCGCTCAGCGGTTTTCAAACCAGCCAGCCGTATTACTGCATGAGGTCCATCTCAGGAGTGATTACCTTGATGTTGATCTTGAATGAATGATGACATTCTCTCTCTCTCTCTCTCTCTCTCTCTCTCTCTCTCTCTCTCTCTCTCTCTCTCTCTCTCTCTCTCTCTCTCTCTCTCTCTCTCTCTCTCTCTCTCTCTCTCTCTCTCTCTCTCTCTCTCTCTCTCTCCTCTCTCTCTCTCTCTCTCTCTTCTCTCTCTCTCTCTCTCTCTCTCTCTCTCTCTCTCTCTCTCTCTCTCTCTCTCTCTCTCTCTCTCTCCCTCTCTCTCTCCCTCTCTCTCTCCCTCTCTCTCTCTCTTTCTCTCTCTTTCCCCCTTCTCCCCATGGTTACCAATGACATCAAAGCAACAAGGAGTTACAGGAGTTTCCTCCTCCTTCCTATCGGACTATGGTATGCAACGGATCATATGTTGGTTCTTCCAAAGCTATTTCATATGAACGTTTCGAGTAAAGTTTGAAGCCACGTGCATGCCAACAAGGGATTCCCATCAGCATTGTTCGTTCACAGCTTGTTGTTTATTTTGCTATCAACGAACGCAAACAACAATCGCTTCCTAATCTATCGTCAGGACAGGTGTTAATTCGCGAAATATGAAACTATTTGGGAAATCTGCGGACACCGACAAAAGATCACGTCACAGTGGCAGGTATAAATACGATGAGACAGGCGACAGACATCACTCTTCCAAGCTTCACTACCCTGAACGCAGTTGCAGTCGGTAAGCATTATCAGAATAATTGCACAGATTTGCTTTACAATCGCACACCAATGCACGCTTGAAAGAATCGCATTTAAACTGACATCTTGTTAAACTGTAAATGTTTCATAGAGGTAGTTCAATCTACTATCTTACTCGAACTCGCTGATGTATAGTTTGATGTGCTGTCTTTTGCCCCCAGCTGCAGTATCGGCATCATGAAGGTGTTGGCGGTATTCGTGACTCTGCTGTCGGTGGCTCTGGCCGGCCGGGTCTACACCAGCGGTTGCGGGACCCCGCAGTGCGGCGGCGGAGGGGCCGCCATTCCCGTCACTGGCGGCTGCAGCGGCCTCAGCTGCGGCGGCAGCAGCAGCAGCGAGGAGTCCAGCTTCCACTCCAGCAGCAGCCGCCAGACCTCCGGCGGGTGCGGCGGCGCCGGCTGTGACGATACTCAACACACTGTGGTTGTCTCCGTGACCCCGGGCTGCAGCGGCCACGGCTGTGGCGAGACGGTCACAAAGACCACCAAGACGACCCACTCGGTCACCACCAAAGAGCACTCGCACAGCGTCACCAAGGGATCATCGGTAAGTGTTCAACGCTTATAGTGGAGTGCCAAGTGGGTCCAATGTGAGGAGAAAACACATGCGTGGTATTTTCACATAAAATATTCGCTAAAATGGAGCATGATGTCATTAAGCCATTCTAGCCAGAGTTTTCGTGTTTTGCAACCGTCGAACTTCAGGATGACCACCAATTGTTTGTTAACTGAATGTTTATCACCTTTTTGTGCTTGTTAATTAGCAGGCACGTCAATATCAATTTTAATTAAACGCTTCCTTTTGAGTAGTCAGCGGTCGGTTTTATGCAGTATTTTACTATGACATTATCATGCAATCGCTTACAAAACTCTATACGACATGCACAGCAGTGTCATATTGTTGCCATATGAATGACAATGCTGAATCACAGAATATCGTGACAACTCCTTCGTCTCTGTTTCAGGGTCGAGCTCACAACACGGAAAGCTCGGACGAGCACCAGTCGGCCAACTCTGGCCAGCAGGTGTTCAGGGAGTCGGGCGGCCACGTGGTGACCGTGCCCAGCCACAGCACCACCTCCTCAGGAGGATCGCACAGCTCCAAGTCCTCCGAGTCGTCCTCCAGCTCGTTCGAGAGCAGCCGCTCCAGCCAGAGCGGCGGCAGCTCGTCGCACTTCTCGTCCGGCAGCGGCCAGGTGGTGACGCCCGTGGTGACGGTCACCAAGACGTGCTCCACCTGCGGCGCCTCGCACGGAGCCCAGTCCTCCAGCTCGTCGTTCGAGAGCAGCGAGAGCTCTCACAGCGGCTCCAGCCACGGCTCCGGCTCGTCGTCTGAGAGCGGCTCTGATGGAGGCTCTGGGAGCAGCTCCACTCATCATTACGGAGACGATGACTCGGGCCGCGATGACTACGGCAAATAAGCTGCATTGGGTGTATGGCAATAGCCGATGATGAGGTGTGTGGTCAATGAAATGATGATGATCAATACACCAATAAGCAACGTATCAGCCTGTATCTGCATGGCGATAAGAAATAAGATAAACCACTTGACAGCCGTCAAGCTTGCGCTCTTGCCAGCCTGCTCGCCAGTAGGGGAAGTTGGGGCAATGCCGGAGTTGGGGCAAAGCCGAAATTCGAGATATTTCGAAAACCGTAAGACATGGATGCCACCTGTCAGTGATGCTCTGAAGCTTAAGTGACTACAATTATCGCATGTTTGTTACGAGTCGTCATTCGGAATACTTCGGCTGTGAGGGCGCCAAGAGCGTTTTCAAGGTACGCGTTCCTTGTACTACATGCGCCTTTGAAGCTGCATTTCTTACTCATTATGCTACCGTTTGTCTGGCCAATTCGGTCAAGTAATCTTCAGCGTGTCTTTGCATAATTGCCTATTTGAAATTTATACTCGTACGGCACGTTGAAAAGTTATGGGCCTGCAAATGAAAGTATGGCTGGCTGGGGTAATGCCGAAAACGTGCAATTACGCACGTTAAAGCACGCTACGTGGACTTTACTGCTGTAGAATAGCAACGCGAATTTTTAGTCACACAAATTACACCTTCAACCGACACAACGGCCTGTTACCTATAAGGAATTATTTACCTGACATTTTCTTATTATATCACACAATTATAACTTCCAGTGTGCACCAAGCGTCCTCAAGCTCTTAAAACGCGTGTCAGCTTTGATAAATTCTGGATAAAGTTTGAGATAAAGTGGCAAAACATCAATGTCGGCATTCCCCGTAGATCATTTCTCCCATTTTCGGCTTTCCCCGCAGTCCGGGGCAACGCCGAAAAAGTCACTTCTTTGATATTTTTAGTTTGTGCGCTTAACGGTATGCGAATTCATCAAATGCGCCTGGTATGTTTGAAAGGCAAAAGACTGGCCTCTCGAATGACGCCAACAAGAATAGCTTATGTTGTCTACCTTGCGTGCTACGGGCGTCAGAAAAAAAGTATTCGGCGTTCCCCCAACTTCCCCTAGTTGCTACCAGGTTGCTACAGGGTGTTCATTAGCAAATGGCATGAAGTAAGCCCCCGCTGGAAACACATAAATTATATTTTAACATAAAAACAGCCCACCGTTAGAATGACAACTCTTGGACATTTGACATCACTGACACGAAAATCAGCTGTGACACTTGGTTTGTCAATAGGAGGTGCTCGAAGTATCCTCGCCTCTGCGTGGCATGCTCGGCCCGGCGCCGGATGTGCCGCACCATTTGTCTCAAATGGTCGCCGACCGTCCTACGGGCAGTCTCCGACCACTTACGGCAGCCTGCAGCTCATCAAGGTTCTTGAGTTCTTTCCTCAAGGCTCAACTAATTGAGCTGCTTAGAGCCAGAATTTGAAGTTCAGGCAGTAAAAATCCGGACTGTAGGATGGCAAGGGTTGCTGGGTCCTTGTTGGGTCCCTAGGAGATGGAGACTGGAGAGTCTTGCCATTCTTCGAAAGTCAACCCAATATTCACGTTCGCAAGTCTTCAGGAGGCCGAGAAATGTGTTTGTGAAACATATGAACAATTTTCCGCAAGAAACTGAGCTGGCAACCATACGATTTCCGTCCGGTCGTAACGGCCGTCCTCTCCACTGAAAGCCGTCGAGGTGTCGAGGCTGAAAGCGTACAGCGCACCTTCTGGCTCAGTCCAGTGGAAATTAATTGTTCGAATGGGTGATCTGAAGTGCCCTATATCCTCGCGCAGTCCGGACCGGAAGACAACCTGGCCTTGGATTTAGCGGGGTCAGACGTCTCACCCGCAAGGCCCAAGTGACAAAGCACGGCAATAGGCCATATTGATATGATGCCTCCGGCATTACAACGCATGAAGGCTTCATCTCGCTTTTACAGGTGTAAAATGTTGTATCTAATGTGTGCTTTGCGTTTTAGTTGTTAAACGTTTCGGCGCCGTTACGACCATCCATTCTTAACAAATTATCACCCCTTTCATTTGCATCAAACCCTATGTCAATATCCGTCTTCTGGGCTAAGAACCGCGCGATACAGTGGCGAAAGCTCGGTTCGAGCCGTTTTGGCCGATTGCTTCCGAAGATGGTGATAACTTTCGGTTTTGTCGTCAGTCGCAGATTGCATAAAACAGACCTGATGAAATCAATGAGCGGAGTGGGGGCTGCGTCGTGCAATACAGGGCCCTACACATATGGAAAGCAGCGATTTTATGAATAAAAACAACGATCTACCCTTAGCCTGTCACTTCCTGACATATAGGAAAAACAGCGGAAATAAACAGAAAGTTATTTTTTGTGAAAGGTAAAAACTTTTTTCACCACTTCAATTCGAAAAGACACACGGCGCATTAACAGTTGACGCATTCAACAACTATGACCATTGACCAATGACCATTTCATTATGAATCCCAATAGTCTTTGATCACGCCACCTGCGTACCTATTCAGGGCAATTTCCACCGTTTTCACTCTAGGAAAAGTAGCCGAGTTCCGTGAAGTTGCGCGTTTAGCGTGTGATATATTTACATAATTTAATCGATGTACCTACATACGTTGCGAATGACGTAGTCAGGATTTGGTTGCTGATCAATTGCGTTTGTGCTGTTTTGTCTTGTATTACGCGGTGCCGCTTATGCATGTGTGTGCTCATAGCCGTGGCTGCCCTGAACAGGATCTGAATCATTCTGAGCTTAGCTGGATTTAGAACTCGGCTCAACATTAGTTGATACAACCGCTAGCACTGGCCAGTGAGCTCCTTTACCATCTAGAAAATCAAGTGTGGCATGTGATAGAAAGCCATATCTAAATGCACTGCACGGTGCAGAGGAAGGAAATAAGCATGTTTTCATTTGAACCGGCTCGCGATCTCTCTCGTCAACAACTCAACAGCTCTTTTGCCATCGTTGAGTTGAATCATAAAGTGCTTCTCGATGTTTAGTTTTTATTCAAACATCATATAGGTAATATTTCATCACATAAATAATGAAACGAATCATAAAAGTTACAACCTCTAAAGTAGTTATTTCATCTGGATGTTCGGGATGTATTTTTCCTAAGACATTCCTTGGGGTACAGATCCACCAAAGATGCAAAATCATCGTCTACTTTCCATATCCGAGGTGTGTGCTCGAGTGGCAGGGTCCGCCTCCGCAGAGCGACGATCCCCCCAGCTGACCGCCAGAACTCTGGATCGAGCTGCTCTTGAACGAGCTGAACTGCGACCCGTGCGAGCCACCACAGGTGGAGCACGTCTTGGTTACCGCCACCACGGGCGCCACCACCTGGCCGCCGCCGAAGTGGGAGCCGCCGCTGGAGTGGCTCGAGTGGCTCTTCTTGAAGGAGCTGGAGAAGCCGTGCGAGCCGCCGACAGCGTGACTGGCGCCCACGGCGGGGAGCACCGCGTGGGTGCTCGTCTTCCTGAACCCGTGGCCGGAGCTCAGAGCACCCTGGTGTCCGGTGTTGAAGCCGGAGCCGATGTTATGGAGGGAGCCCTGAAATTGAAGAAGGCATAGGTACATTAAATAGAGTGAAGTGATAAGGTACGAAGAATGAAACTACTAGATTTTGCCTCCAGACTTCTTTTTTTTTATAAATTTGGCTCGAATGTTTTGAATGGACGGATTGACAGAGCCGGAGCCCACGCTAAGCAGAGCTTGTTGCGTAGACCCCGACCCCTACCGTCCGATCGCGCAATTCCGGGTAACGGGAGAATTTTGAGATGCCAAAGTTTAACGTGCCCTTCAAAGCCGGACACGGCCTGTCCCACTCAACTGACTTCAACTGGCTGCGGCTGCTCCCACCAACCGCAGGCCATCCCCGTCAGGAGTCTCAAATATCGAGCGCCGGAGCGTCTCGAACCCGGGCTCTCACTACCGGGAGTCCGATGCTCTACCAACTGAGCTACGGGACAGGCTTTTCTTCACAGGCTTTCTTTCAAACTGATGTTGGTGATAAATTGATGGTGACAAAATGTTTCACACCGCGCTAGGAAGTCATGATTTTAGTTTCTCTGTCACGATGTTACATCACATGAATTTAAATCACTTACCGAGGTTCCCTTGGTGACGCTGTGAGAGTTCTCCTTGGTGGTCACAGCGTGGCTAGTCTTGGTGGTCTTGGTCACAGTGTCTCCACAGCCGATGCCGGAGCAGCCGGAGCCAACAGGAACGATGGGTCCTCCGCATCCAGGACCGCTGCATCCGGAACCCACGGGGACGATCGGGCCTCCACAGCCAGGACCGCTGCAGCCAGAACCCACTGGGACAATGGGGGCTCCGCAGCCAGGTCCACTGCATCCGGAACCCACGGGGACGATCGGACCTCCACAGCCAGGGCCGCTGCATCCCGAGCTGACAGGAATGACCACGGTGTGGCTGCCGCCGCAGCTGCCGCCGCCGCATCCTCCGGAGGTGTGGTGGCTGCTGCTGGAGTGGAAGCTGGACTTCTTGCTGCTGCTGCTGCCGCCACAGCCGAGGCCACTGCAGCCGCCAATGACGGGGATGGCGGCCCCTCCGCCGCCGCAGTGCGGGCTGCCGCAGCCATGGGTGTAGAGATGGCCGGCCAGAGCCACCGACAGCAGAGTCACGAATACCGCCAACACCTTCATGATGAGGATACTGCTGTGAAGAGGACAGAACAGAGTGAGGCCAAGAAGTAGAAGGGAAAGCAGTGGAAGTGACGCTGACTGCCAACTATAAACAGACATTTAGGTAACTCTTCATATGGCTTTCTCCCTACATGAAAGAAGCAACTTTAGTGAGCAATGCGAAGGTAGGCATATTTATCGTGATATTTATTATTCGTGAAGTGAGGCGGCGTGGCTTGAGATAAGGGATCGGTCAACATTTTGAATTTAAGCGCTCACTATCGTTGGGAAAAAGATATTGATGGTAGGGTAAGGTGCCTAATTAGCGACCCCGTTAATTTGAACCGTCATTGCTCACGCTCTGTGGGTGCCACTGTATCACTGGCTTGATTTTCGGAGAGATCGTTCATTTTTCTATTAAAATATAGTCATTTTCTGCCCAAATATCCACTAACTTATTTGTAGTGAGCATTTTGGCAAACCATTGCAAAAAACGCTAATAGGGAACTCTTCCCGATTAGCGACCGGGGAGGGTCGCTAATAAGTCTATGGGTTTCCCCATATTAAAAATGGCAAAAAATGCGACGCCTGAAAAGATGAAATATGATCTCAAAAAGGTAACCTATACGCAAAGCATTCAATCACTCGAACATGCACGTTTATCCAACACATTTACGTAAGTAAAAACTGATTACGTGATGCACCGAAGGCGAAAAGAAGGCGGAAACCCAAATTTTGCGGGCTATCTCATATGATATTCGAGGTCCGCGCTGAATTCGGCACCCCTGCAGTCGGTGACGACATTTGGCATCCCCTGCCACATATTGCAAGCTTCAGCAACACCTCATTTTCATTTCTCTCTTTTCCCCTTTCTTTCCCTTCTTGAGCTATTTGCGACCATGTCAGGCGCAAATAGGAAATATGAGTTGCGACACATTTTTAACCGCCATGCTGTGCACAGTTGAGCGATTCACTATGGGAAAACGGCAATCAATTGAAAAAGGAATGTCGATTCAGAATAAAAAAGGTGCATCATCCTAATGTGCATCGCTTTTCATCAGAGAGGGCCCAAACACACACGTTTTGGATAAGAAACTCGTCATTTTTATTTAAACTCACCTGAAACGTCCCACCAGAAACATCGACGACCGGAAAATAATTTAATTTGATAACCAAAGTATGGCTGACCTTTTGACGATGTTTTTACCCCGTTTTCTCCTGCCAGTTTTTCTGTAGGGAGGTAGGTCGCAAATCGGAAAGGGTCGCTAATTAGGCACCTTACCCTATCAGTTCAGCCACCCGAGTGAAAATTCAACCGAATTAGTAATCGACCTTTAATCTGATAGTTGTGATTTGCGAAGTTCCACTATTTGATTATTAACATTTACGCGTATATCTTACTCAATTAGGCGAGCGGGCACATAAGATGAGTTCAGCTCACCTGTTCTGTTCTGTCCTGTTCTTCTGCAGAGAATGGCAGAGGATCGCATTGTCGGTGTATTTATACTACAGAACGTGACGTGCAGTTTTCCAAGTGACATCACAGATTTCCCGAAGCGGCTTCCATCCCCGCCACCCCGTGCGGAGCAATGGACTGGGCGGCGGCGCCGGACCAGTTCGAAATCCGACATATTTCCTGGTTGATAGAAAACAAACTGGAAATCCCTCAATGGCAGAAGAACAATACAATACAATATGTCCGCTGAACAATACGGCCGATAATAAAACAACGGCACCTACGTACTATAGAGCGGCAAACATCAAATGTATGGGATGAAAACAAAATATGGTACTGACCACGGAACATTGCAAAGGTCGTGTCTTTGCCGCGCGATGGGCCAACAGAAGTGTAAGGTTATTTCAACCCTGATATTAAACTAGAATTAGTACAACCAGTAAGACGATTTTTTTGGTGACGAGCGAGTGATATACCTATCTACCTACCTACCTACATGTGGGTAGGTAGGTAGATAGGCTTCGATTTTAATCATCAGCCTACAATCTAATTGTACATAGATGATTTAAATAATTGTTTGAATTAGCTTGATAAATAAAGGCCAAGTTATACATTTCATACCGTTACTTTTGACGCCTATTAATATTTTAGAGGACAAGAGCCGTTTAACCCGCGCCCCACTGGGGTCTGCGTATAACACGCCCTACTGGGGGGGGGGGGGGGGGGGCTATTCATAGCCCCCCCTCCTAACTCCGAAACTACTGGGCCGATCGTCAAAATTCAAACGGCGTCTGATAGCCCCGGAAAAACTGTCGAGCGAAACCTAATTTCATTGACCTCGAGGTCACTGATGACGTCACAGGTCAGGTCAAAGTAAAAATTATTAGCATTTTTGGCTTGTTCACATTTCGGGCTCTGGCCGCCGTCTTACAAGTCAGATCAGGCTCATTTTTGGTTCACACACTCGTGAACAGATGCTCTAGATACTCTGAGGGTACCAAACCTGTACTTTGATTTTCAGGTCAAGGTCAGGTCATCACAGGTCACGAAAATAGTATATCATCCGTCGGTCACGTGACACATGTTTTATGGTCCATTTAGGCCAAACATTTCGAATTTGATGTCGTCTGTGTCATTCGAGGTCATTTTGAGTCAAATTTCGCTTAGGTCAGGTCACTTTCAGGTCAAAAAAGGTCAAATTTTGAAGTTAAAATTTTTCAAAAAAAGATGTCTCTTAGATGCAGTTTGAGCTCAGGAACACGATGGTCCTATTTATATTGGCGTACGATGTCAAATTCGTGCTGAAAAATTGATTTGAAAAATTAATAATTGATACTTTTTTTGCAATAATGCGTATAACTTGGCCATTTTTGAAGATATTTAGCCTAAACTTGCTAGAGTTAGTCATAATAATGCGTTCTATCACATATATTCCGGCTTTTTCGAAAAGTCAAAAAGTTTTTGAAAAAAAATGTAAAAATATAAATTTTGAATTTTATTATATAAAATTTTCGAAATTTTCAAAATTTTGAAAATCCGAGATAGCAGTTTGATAGCGCAGTCTATTCTGAGTCCTCTCATGCAAAGAAATTGGATCTAGCTTAAAAACTGAGCTCTTGGGAGCGATTGCCGTGGTTCAATGTTTTGCGTCGAAATCGGCCGAACATGACGTCACTCTGACGTCATTTCCGGCCGACCTATGGTAGCTACGAAGTTCAAATTTTGACACAAGGTGTCAAATTGATGCAGCCGAAGTTACTGAAAGTTTGGCGTCGATACGTCAAGCGGTTTGGAAGTTATTGCAGAAAAACGGGAGGGGGGGCTATAAATAGCCCCCCCAGTGGGGCGCGGGTTAATATAGATTAAACCGGCCTGCTTCTGACACGTCAATTCATTAATTTTGACGGCCTACCTGTTTGTATGCAGGACGAAGATGGGAGAGGTAGGGGAAAGTGAGGTAAGACGGCCAGGGTAGGTAAGACGGGCACCCCCTCTGCAGACCAAACCAATAGCGCTAAGAGCGAGAAAAATTAGGATCAGAGTTGCCTTTCTCACCACACACCACCATTTCAGCCTGGTGATTTTGTGTTCAGTCAATATTCTTTTATTTAGATTTGTTTGAAAACACTTATACATTTCATCGGAAACATCCAGAGTGTATTGTGTAAAGTTGTTGTGTGCAGCACTATAGTTGAAAACTCGTAATCACTTGTGGTATACTCATATGCCACCAGTGTTCATTTACTTCGGATTTGCTCTGCCTGCATCAAAATGTCCACAGAGAAAAATCGTGCTGAGCTTCTGACATCGAGTTTGGGGTAAGACGGCCAAGTACGGATCCAATGGGTCTTTAACCGGTTAAAATATTTCTGTTGCTGTAGGAAAAAAGCACTTCAGGTAAAAATATGTTCGATTTCGATACTCACAGACAAATTAGAAATATTCCTTCGGTACAATTTATTCTCGAGTAACTAAAAATGAAAGACGGCCTTACAAGGCTTCTAAACTATGGCCTTTTTGTACGAGCATAAGCATTCTGCACGAATCTCGTATACATTGCCTTTTCCGAAGCACTTGAGACCAACGAGCGACTGTATGAATGCGGTTTATCTCCGTAAAAGGCTAACTATGTTTACGCGTGGGACATAACCAACAGCATCTCCATTTCCCGGTCACCTAAATTCTCTGGGTACATAGGTATGATAATAACCCGTTAGCTCCCTCACACTGAAAAGTCGCCATTCGCTGACGAAACAATACCAATCTATGTTGCGGACGGTGATGGCCATTTTTCGCCCGCGTCCGGTTTTCCATGGCCTTTCCGTGGCCGGCGGATCGGACGATCTGGAGCCGTGAGCTCCACATGACACGTGCCTGTGTAAAACGGGTGTTACGAGATGACGTCACGTAAGCCATCCTCAGCCCGCGGGGAGACACGGGGAAACTGCTGCTTAGTGGAGCGGCAGCGTTAGAGCTCTGAGTGATATAACCGACAGTCGGAGCAATCAATGAAAACGCTATCGCTAATGAAATGGCCAGTGATGTAAAATATATCGATTCTTTACTCACCTCATTGAAATCTAAAACAAAATTTCCCTAGACATTAAATTCATCCTGACCGTGCAATTAAAAAAAAGAATTTGAGTAACTATTTAATAAAACGTTGATCGGGCTGTGATACGCTAAGTTATTATTTGAATCGTTTCATGATTTGCTGATCACGCGTGCTTTATTTATCGAGCGTTTTTTCCGCGACATTCGACCGGCCGACGCTCAGAAGAGCACAAAATGTGGGACCATGTGTCGGTGAGGCCCGACGGTCGAGTCCGAGTCCGAGTCCGAGCTCGATCAGTTGTTTCACGAGCATCACTCACGTGCCGGTGAGGTGATCTGATGGTTCTATACCTAGCAACAGCGAATACAGCTTCAGCCCACAGTTTAATGGTATCGTCCCCCCCCCCCCGAATCACCATGCTGCGAAGCGAAACGGAGCCTAGTTAAAGCAGTCATATGAAGTCCAGTCACCCGCCCTGGCCCTATACCTAGGTGACCCTTAGGAAATCCGAGATATGCAAGCTGTGACGGCCTGGGATGATGGCAAAGTTCCAAGTTTCATCTCTTGTGAGAGATCTGGTGATTTGGTACTGAGGGGCGAGGGCATTGCGAAGCAGCGACGTTCTAGGACCGAGTGCAGGCGTGCAAAGGCTTATGACGTCTTACTCTCGCCAGTGGCGGATCCAGGGGGGGGACAAAATGGGCATTGCCCCCCCCCCCCAAACAGCATAATTTTAACATTACGCCTATGGACGGTGCATGGAAAGAATCGATAAATTGTTATGGTTTGCCCCCCCGCCCCTCAAAAACAACTCTGAGCTGGATCCGCCTCTGACTCTCGCCGGACTTATTGGTCTTCTGCATACGCGCCGGCCAAGGGGAAGGAGTTGGTATTACCCCCCTCGCCCTTTCGCCCCTGATGGAGCTAGAGCGTCGCGGAAATACAAACGTATGCGCCGTTACAAGACGCAGCGACTGGTATCTGGTCTCAGTTTAATCGGTGACCACTGAGGTCAGTTCAAGTGGCCAAAGCCACGGATTCAGTTTTTCATAATAAATTCGCAAAACACAGTCGCAGAGCCGCGATTTTGGCATAATCGTGTTCGTGTCGCTCATGCGCGTCGAACGGCATACTTTTTGTTCGGTGGAGATCATCTTGAGGTGTTGACCTCCGGGTCAGGTCAGCCCCCCCATGTCTCGAAGTCGGTCGAAAGAGGTCATGTCGGCTGTTGTCGCATATCATTCGATTCGGCAGGTCTTTCTAGTCGATTAGTGACTTTTCCGACTCGCTAAGCTCAATTTGATCGGGAGTCATGGACGAAAAACTCTTATGACCCAAGTGACGCCATCAATGCTCTCACGCAAAGTCAACAATGCAAAAGTGAAGCATCGGACCTTGCAAGAAGTGCAAGAAATCACGATTCCGTGTGCTTGAGGAGATAGTTTGAGATCGTTCCCGGCGCTAAAATAGCAGTTTTCATTTTCCCGCATGCGGCATGGTGAGGTCATAAAGGTGGTAATAGTGAGGTCACGTGACTGACCTGACCTCATGTGACCTTTCAAAAAAATCCGAAATATACCCACAAGTTGTGAGACCTCTGGAGGATACTACATCCTGCAAGTTTCATTTCCCGTGCAAGTTTCCCTGGCACTGAGGACGTTGCGAAGTTGCGACATCTGAAAACGTGCGCTCAGGCTCACTAATGAGGTCATAATAGCTAGGTCAGTGATCTGACCTGTCCTGAAAGTGCGGTTGGTGTCAAAAGTTGTGGCTTGGATAAAAAATCAGGTATACGAACTACGAAGTTTCAGCTCTACTCGCATTCGCCGGCGTGTTCGTAGCTATCGCGAAAAAAATCCTATAGGGGCACGCCCGGCACGGCACCCGCCAGCCGCCACCCCTCGGCCGGCGAGATGTCAAGGTCGGTGACCTGACCTGACCTTTACACGAAGTTGAATTCACAGGATCCAGCTTGCATCAAATGTCATAAATACTAACTTTTATCCTTAGCGCTTTTATCCTTTATCCATAGCGCGTTCCGTTCCGAGCAGTCCGAAAATTGCACTCGAACAAGAGCGAGTAAACAATTTTGCTATACACCGGGAAATTTGGAAGCAGAAATTCCCTACCTCATCAATACGTACGCGACGAGCCTAAGGCAAACTATTGCGCACGTCTGCTGATATGAAGTGCACTATTCCACTGAGTTCTTTTTATTGTTAAATATTCTACGACTGAAAATTATTCGTAATAATACAGTTTGTGTCCTTTATCTCTTTCAATAATATAGACTAAACGGACTAAACCAAGATTCTTACGGATAGACTAAACAGGATCTTCTCTGACCACTGATTGAACTGAAATTGAAATGCTAATTATTCAGATATTCGTTTAATTACTTTTTATAACCATGATTCATGTTACACCCTGTTACATTCATAAATGCTTTAATCGGTCATCATGAGGGCATGCCTTGCCCTTCCAAAACTGGGGTTTCAGGTTATGTTACGCTTATCAATACGCCTTTCCTATTTCCTTCACATACGCTGAATATACGAATATACTGAAACCAAAATGACTACATGCAATAGTGTGGCGTGCACTGGTACTTGGTAGATTTCATAGCCTTCTCAATGCATGGGATACAAGTGAGAGCCAGTAATGGCGGAACACCTTCAATTAAGGGGAGGGGGGGGGGGGTCACTGCCGACTTTTGGCCCCATTCTTTCCATGCAATGCCCATAGGGCTTATGTTGAAATGCCAAAATCAAAGGGGGCACTGTGCCCCAGTGCCCTCCCCGTTCCGCCGCCTATGGTGAGAGCAATATTACAATTGACAATGTCATTTGTTGGGAGTTGGCAGTAATTGGCATTGCATGATATCTATAGCTATATGTGATGTTATATGTCTGCCACTGCCACAGAGTCAATATGTCATCTGGAAGAGTTCCCAATGGAGATTTCTATAAAGATCTTGTTGATTTGACTTTGAAGTCAGATGAGCTGGACCCAGAAAAACAGCAGGAAGACCAAAGACAACAACCAAAGGTTGAGGACAAAACCAACCAGGTAGGCCACTGTTTTGCATCCTACAATACTACAGTGTTGGATGCTTGTGGTAGTTGTCAGTTTGGGTGCAATTGACATCAAATCATTGTCTTCAGCTCCCTAAGTGATTTGAATTTCATGCCTCCTGCAGTTGATTGCTACCCCAAATTATTAGAAACAGTGTCACTTGGTAATAAAAAGACATTTTTCCCAATGTATTTCCTGAGGATAGCTAGTATTTGCTTTCATACAGCTTCAGTGAGATTTAGTGGTGCGATTTCTACACTGGCCACAGGCTAGTTCTTGTATTTTTATTTGTTTGACCTCGCATTGCAAATAGTCTCTAAGATGTCAGCTCAATGACCTGCTCCCCCCGCTTCACCTGCTCAGTCTCCGGGCCGCCTGCTGCTCGAGTCCTACCTCAACAAGACGATGCGGGTCGTAATGACGGACGGACGGTCGCTGATGGGAGTCTTCTGGTGCACGGATCGCGACGCCAACGTCATCCTCGGCAACTGCATGGAGCACATGCCGCCCCGAGGTATGACCGGGTCGGTAGAGCGCGGGCGGGCTCTAGAGATCGGTCTCAATTGGAATAATCGCGCCATTTCGATATTTATATGTTTTTGGCTGTTACCATAGACGAGATATTATACATCGATTGATGCTCACTAGAGTATTTTGCTGCTCGTTGATGTAACCTTCGTTGGGGACTCATAGAAATAAAAATAAATGCATTATCCAACATTTACATGATAGTAACCAGAAGTTTCCATCTAATTTGTTGTGCATTTTGGCATACACATTCCGATTAATATTTGCGGAGTGTAACGGACCTTACGTCGGTGTTGTTCTCAGAGGACGGATCGCGTGATGAGCCGCGCCCGCTCGGTCTGGCCATGATTCCCGGCCGGCACATCGTCACCATGCACCTGGACCAGCTGCAGCACGTGCGACCCGATCAGGTCACGTGACGACAGCGGCAGCTGGTGTGAGCCATCACCCACCGCTGCCGTTAGCCCAGGTGGCCCCGCCACAGGCACGGGACTGGCCGTCAGTGTGCAATGTCGACGATATTTGGCCGAGAAAGCGGTGACGGACGTGGCTGACTGGAGTCTCGTGCGGAGACGCTGAGAACGCCTTCCTGCCGGGGAACGGTGACAATACCGTGCCTAGTCCTCTAGTCATGTGAATATGACTTGTGTACATATCTAGCCGTTATTGGAAAAAGGCTGGTTCATTAGGGAGGGTTGATGCTGCTTATTTAAAGGAAATAGTTCACTTTCACGAAATTATTTTTTTTGCAATGGATTTATGATTTTTTATGTTCAAAATGATCAGCAAAGAAAATAAAACCTATTTATAACAAAAGATTATTTTCTATATTTTGATAATAAGAAGAACTTTTCAGTTTCTGTAAGGCACAGGCGATCCAGTATGAAAAGAGCATGGGTCCCGAAAATTCTTCAGAAACTAGAGAAATGATCGCGGCCACCGGCATTTGGGCGATCTGCTGCTGCTGAATGTCCTTAGGTATTGATCAGTACGAGAATTTCTCTAGAGTACTCGTAGATAATTTCTCTAGTTTCTGAAGAATTTTCGGTACCCATGCTCTTTTCATACTGGATGCGAATATATGCAAGGCACACATCCTCAACGCAAGACACCTTTTTCGGGACGAGAAATAGAATATCTTTGCCTAGGGTGATCGTTGGGCTGTAAAAGCTCCTGATTTATGCTCGTCTCAGCCCAGGCTACGGAACTGCTATTCCAGTTCAAAACCCATGTTAAAAAGTGAACTATTTCCTTTAATGAACTAGCCTCGTCCACGGGATGGTACTGTATGACATCATTTAAGATCGCCATGCGACTCTCGAATGATATTGAGCTGATATGTTCCTTTATACATTTCTAGCTGCTATACGGCAGGGCGAGGATGAAAAGGTTTCCAGTTCCATCTGTCTCGTCTCGCTTGTCACGAGTCTTCATTGGTTGAATGAAGTGACTGTTTACATTATCGAGTGCATGGCGTTCTTACATTGCGTCGGGATATCGTGCTCGCGTTGTTTCTGGTTGCGTGAGGTATACTTATTGTTTAGTGAGCATGTTCCTTGTGAAACCATGGCGCCAATGAATAAATTTGGTCTTTGGATGAACGAACCAACAAATTCTTTCATTCTTCATGCGTGCTGTCTGAACAATTTTCATCGTATTTAGCGTACTGGATGCTTCACTAATAAAACGGTGATTTCCTCCAAGATTACTTTACATATAATTTCCGCTGCATATGGCAGCAGTTCTTTAGACTCGATTGGAATGTGGGGTCAGTTTCGCTCATATTTATGTGAAACCTTGATCCCATATTCGCCTCGCAGTTATCAATTTTTATCAATTTTTGTTTTGGGGCGTGTTTTGAAGTAGGTTCAAGGCCATCTATAGAAGGTACAGTCACTCTCCCGCCGACCAATCAGAGACAGATCCTGAGTGACGTCACCCCTGATGCTCGCAAGGGGTACTCCATTCCTTTCAACGTAAAAATGACTAATTTCATTTGAAGATTGTTGATGGCACTCTACACATAACGCTCAGCCGTTGATGTCAATGGAAAGCCCAACTAATTTTCCAGCGACAAAAAAGAGCAGCAATATGCTAAGAAATGGCCGGTTTTGAAGATATAGACGATTTAAAAACCCTCTGCAGCAGCAGGAAAGCAACGTAGAAACGCACCGAGCTTATATTTTTACTTTGGATAATTCATTTTTCAGTAAGTTTTTAGATATGGTATAGATTTGAGTTGCAACTTTATTACAGTATTTTCATTACTTGAAACTTTATTTCAAAATAATATTTTCAAAAATGGCAGCTGTTGGCCAGTAGCTTGGGAGCGATTGTGGCGCACCGCGCCATTAATTGTCCTGAGGCCCCCTTATGATGTCATCAAAAGTGGAGTGACATGGGCCTGAGTAGGTTAGTTATTTGATTTGATTGGTAAGGTTTTTCAAGCTAGGTGCCATTAAAAACAGTTAAAAATGACTTTTACACGTTCAGGTTATCTCAATCTTTGTTTCACTGAGTGAATGCCTCTTGCTCGTCTACGTTTCAGTTTCACTGTTCCATTAGTTTGAGTTCCATAGTTTGAGTTTCAGAATTCAGTTTGGTATTAATCATAAATTTGCAAATAGGTAGGTACCTATAAGGGAAAAGTATGAAAGGGATGAATACACCATTGATTGCTATTCCAGCTATTTGCATTTTCCAGTTTATAGGTATAGTATAGAGGTAATAGAACATGTGAAAGCCAAATGAAATAAGTCATGTTTGCACTTGTGGTCTCATTAAACTTGAGTCTTCAACTTGTAGTTGGCCTCCATGATATTGATGATCCCTGTTTTCTGCAGATCATGCCACAGTCATCAGACCTGCAGAAGTTCTGCCTCCGGTGGAACGACTACCGGAGCAGCGTGACTGCTGCATTTGAGGGCCTGCGGCAGGATGAGGAGCTGTTAGACATGACGCTATGCTGTGAGGGCAAGAAGATCAAGGCGCACAGGGTGATGCTGTCAGCATGCAGCCCCTTCTTCCGTGAGCTGCTGAAGGTGTGTGTCAGTGTAAGCCAATGAGCAGTGTCTGAAAACGGCTATTGATGTGAATTGGGTGGTGCATGTCTCTGACTAATATTTTCTTGCATCAGGTGACAATATATATGTTTTTATGCTGAACATTGGAGTAACTCCATCTGTGTCATGCAATTTCCTGTGTTATGCATGTTGTTGCTTTTTGTGTACCTATCTGTTTGACAAACCTATTGCCAGCAGGCCATTGATGGAAGTGCTCCCACTTCCAGTGAAGTTTATTATCTGACCTCTTCCCATCTGCTAGACACATCGACTGTGTGGCCTATCTCACATCACTTTTTTCCTCCCCCAGGAGAACCCCTGCCAGCATCCAGTGTTTATGCTGCGGGACGTCTCCTACCGCGACCTGTGGTCGGCCATTGAGTTTGTATACAAAGGAGAGGTGAACGTACGCCAGGCCGACCTGGCCACCTTTCTGAAGACTGCCGAGATGCTTCAGCTGCGTGGGCTTACCGAAGAGGATGGCAAGGTATGAAGAATGCAAGAAGGGAGAACAAGTCTTGAGGGGATAATGATCTGTTAATTGATGTGCTCAGCAATCCCAACAAGCAAAGAGAGCAGTTTAGTTGATGGTGGGGTCGGTACTCGGTAGTGGGGCCGGTCAGTGAGGCACACATACAGTCAATGTCAGGGGTGTCGGATGACTGGTTATCTGAGATCGCTCAGAATCTTGAGATGGGGGTGGTGACTGGCCGGTCTCAAACGGCAATGCTAGCTTGAGCTAGGCAGTAATCTGTCTCATGCAATGTAATGGGGATGTAGGTATTCAGCCGGCTGGTTTGAACCGACAGTCGGACTGTCAACAGTTAGAGCTGGGACACGAATCAGACAGTTTATGGATGGCGTGTTTGTGATAGATACGTGGCTATTCTTGAACATGGCAGATTCACTCGAGCAGTTCGGTATTCAGGCCTGTCTCTGTCCCATGTCTGTTTTTTTTTTTTTACTAAGAAATATGAATGGAATACCGATTCTCGTGCTATACCGCACATCTGAAGACTCCCTTCCGGCGTCTAACCCCATCACCGTGTTTATATTCCAGGGTCAGCTGCCCCATACCCCGGCTGGCTCGGGGTCGACCGTCTCCAACTCTGCTCGGTCGTCCGCCGGCACCGCTCGCCGCCGGGCCTGGGAGAAGTCCTCGGACACCGAGCAGCCGGCCGAGTCCTCCTCACGACCGTCCAAACGACCGCGGCCGGCCTCAGACACGGCCGGCCCGCCTCCACCGCCGCCGCCGCCGCCGCTGCAGTCATCGGAGATCAAACAGGAGTCGTCTCCACCGCCCCCGCCGCCTGTGTATGGTGTGGAGGAGAGTCCCGCGTCGTACAGCGCGGAGGAGTCTGACCCGAGCCTGCAGACGATCCTCTACCACAGCGTCACGCCCGGTAAGGGGGGCGACTCGGCGAGCGATGCGGGACCGGTCCGTATTTAAGGCAGGGGAGGTACAGGGGTCTTGCTTTACTAGAGCTTTTGAAGGAGAGTGGTTTCATGACGTAGAGGATTGAAATACGAGTAGTTCATTTAAATGCCAGATTGTTCTTTGAGATGATTTAGTTTGGATTTTCTTTCCTTAGACAAGACATCATGTTTTGTTTCTTCTGCTTATATTTACTCTGTTCGCCCCTGCCCAGTCGAGCTCCGCTAACTCCTCTGTCCATCCCGTCGGTCGCAGAGCCACGAGAGGTAGACCTGGACTCCGATGATCGCACGGCCGGCAGCACAGACTCGTTCCAGTTTCTGAACACACCAAACGTGGCCGGTAAGTGTCTATCATTCCCGACCTGACCCTGGCCGTGACTTATGACACTGGGTTAGTACCGTGCCAGATACCCCTGTGTTCGTGACCCTGGAACAGCTTTGCATGGGTGTTGCTTCCTGCGGCGGGAGTCTTCGTAGCTGGGGCTTTGTGCAGCATGCCGGCGAGAGTGTGGTTGGGTTGCCGCCCTGCCCTTCAAAATGAGTGACGTCGTTATCGGGACTTGGTATATGTGCGGCCACTGTCTACCGTGCCGACGCTGGATAGGCAAGGTTTGTGGCCTGCTGTGTCTTCTGGTGCATGTGGAGGTTTCAATGTGCATCATTTGCTGGTCTTTGGGTGCACTCGCTCCCTGGAAGGGTTCACGATATACGCCTTTGATAAAACGCGAAGCAGGGGGTGGCTTTGTGCTTATCCGACCGCTCGCTCAATCCGCATGTTATGTAACAGCAGACGAGTTGTTTGTGCTGGTGCATGGCAAAAGCTCCATGTAATAAGCCTGTATTTTTGTGATTATTCCTAAACCCACTGACGTTTTTATAATCCCGGGAAGACCCAAACAGAGATTGAGTCTTTAAACGGATCTCGGCAGGAGATGAAAACCGGTTAGTATCATTGCTCTGTCATCCATGTGTTTCTGAAAATCTAGAGGTCGAATGGTACACGGAATCTGGAAACTGGAAAGTACCACCCTTTGAATCGTTGGAAGTGCACTCCTGTCCAAACGGTATCCTACCTGTCAGAAGCGACCTGCGCACCACCTGTATGTCGTGCAGCGGTACCACTCCTTGTTGGAGCCTACCGACGCTGATTCCCATCTCCGTGTAGCGCCAATCCCGCTGTCGGACAAGCCAACACTAGGATCGTGCCATTGGTCTCAGGGAAGTACGGGATGCCGAGGGAGCGACTAGGAACTCGAGAGCGGCATATACCGCTTTTGGATAGTCATGGTCACTCCGCATGTTCTTTGTGAACGAGTTTTGATGAGCAGTGGGCGGTCAGCCCGCCTAGACCGCAACGATGTGCATCATTGCGGTCATATCGGTCTGATTGTATTTGCCGTGAAGAAGTTCTGGTCATATCGATAGCGGGGAGGCTTGTACCATTTCGGCCAAGGCGGGCAGTCTCAGGTGGAGCATATGCGAATACTGGCGCAAACAGACCCGAAAGTTGACGACATGACGGTGACGGCATAACGTCAATGCAGGATCTCTTAGAATTGCTTTTTTCCTTTAAAAAAGCTTTGATTTATTGACTTCTCATTCACATTTACTGTAATTATGCTGTTTTACCTGGTTACCAGACGCGAGTTTTAGCTATTACAAAGCAAGCAAAGCAGGAAAATACTCTCGTATCCAGCATATGACCTCTGCTTTTTACGCCCTTGATGCTATGAATGGCCAGTGAATCAAAACACCAGACAGCGGTAATGTCTGCTCGTCACAGGTGTCGCCACTGGTCGATAGGGCTGAGGTCACGAGGGTCTGAGGCGTCTGAGGCATTCTGCTATCCAACTCGCTGGCTGATCAAGTGTCTTATATCTTATCGTGATCATTTTCTTCTGCTCTCGTCTTCGCATTGCATCTTTCTTATATCCCCATTGCAGTGGCAATAGGGCAATGTAATGTTTAGGTAGGTAGCAACAGACTAAGCTGGATCGGTGTCTGTGCCTATTTTGGTCACCTTCTCATTTCAAGTGATTTTGGGCACAATACAAATATGTAGTTTATCTTATCGCTCACTCCTATCCTGTGCAATAAATACTCTAATGATTTGTATTAGATGTGTAGGTGAAATCTCCAAAGCGTTGACTACCAACTTCAAGTGAACAGCAATTTTTAATAGGTAGTCTTATTGTTGGCATTGCCTGTTTCTCAGTAGAAAAAGGTCTTAGTAACACACCAAACACCGATGGCACTAGTCTCACCTGAAATTATATCACTCATTCAACGTCAGTGCCGTTCCGTAGCATCGATTTTCTGTTCTCGCTCCGCGGAGCCGGCTATGTAATTAACTCAGAAATCTGGTCAACTGGCTTTAAAACAACTAATGGGGCGACTCGCACGCGGCTTGGTCCGCCGGCCGATACCGTATTGACACCGACTGAACGTGGTGTGTACTGTGGAACGTTTGTGAAATGTCTCTTGGGCTTGTCTGCATTTCAATTGTGGTTACCTTTTTGTGCATTGCTTACCATGCTCAAATCTGTTGTCACATATGCTAACGATTGAATTATTCTCATTTTGCTTTGTTAACGTATTCATTAATTCAAATTTGCATATATTTGTTAGAATTTTTGTTCTTTTATCCCCTGTTTTACCGGTCCGCCGTAGCCCTTCGATCCACTGCCCCCGCCTCCTCTATCCCTTGCGTCTTGCGGCATACTATTTCATGTCCAACCCGTGTCCCCCCCCCGTCCCCCTGTTCTGTTGCACTGCCCATCACTGTTCAGTCGGTGTCAATCGGGTCGGTTGTGCGCGTGTTGCAGGCGGTCTGCACGCCTCTGCCGCCACCAGGGGGGACGTCCGCGGTCCGTACGCGTGCGAGACGTGCGGCAGGGTGTACGTCACGCGTAACGCTCTGGGGAAGCACCGCAAAGTCCATCTGGGCCAGACCACGTGCCACTCCTGCTACAAGGTGTTCTCGTCCAAGTGGCGGCTGCAGTATCATTTCAAAACGACCGGCTGCGTGCCGCCAGGCCCAGAGTAGCGACATGGGAGCCGGGTGGACAGAGAAATCGCCGCCGATTTGTGGCCCGGTGTTTGTGAGTTGATTTTAGTGGATTATTATGGACGTAATCGAAGATCAGATTGCGCGAATGTAGATATATGAGATTTGTACCCGATGATTTGTGCTGTTTAATGGACGTGCTTGAAGATCGGACAGCGTGAATGTGAATATGATATTTGTACGCGTTGACTTGTGCTGTTTAATGGGGTTTAATTATTGCTGAAGCAAAATCCAACTTGGCATGTTCACACGTTCAATATGATATGGGACGCAATAGCAGTATCGATTTTCTTTTGTGCTTTTAGCTCTGCTGTGATTTGGAAGTGTGTTCAGTCTTTATTAATCCCAGATATTATATTGCATGTCAATGGATCAATATTTCTTGATAATCTATGTTATGTTATTTGTTCAAGTTTTACGTGAATGATGTCTGATTAATAATTATCCTTTATCCGTCGTGTGGAGAACGCAGTATGTCACTGCTATAGTTGGATTACTCGAAAGCGTGATGGTCGGTGTCCGAATGGGATAACGCATTGCCACTTTTTGTTATTTACGCTGACGAGCTCCATAACACCAGTACCGGTACTTGGTACTGTGGTTGCTTTGAGCCACTGTCAAGAGCTGTTGTCACTCTGGGAGCACAATACATATTTATAACGCAATGACATTTGCCTAATTGAAGTGTCAGCTGACGAGGAAGAAAGCTCCGCATTGTCTAGTGGTGTGCGTCTAATGTTATTTTGCCTTGGTGGCAATGACTAAATAGGCTAAGTTTTATTTGTTCCTCCACTTGCTTGAGTGAAAATAGGTCTGCGTATTAGTTCGCTTTCTCATTTATAGAGCGATAAATTATATATCGCCAACGACCACAGCCTCGCCCCGACTTTCCAACGCTGAGCCCACTCGGTGTCAAACACCTACCGAGACGTCAGCTAATTTAGCGGAACGCGCAGCCACATCTCGGCTGTTTTTCTCACATCGATTCACCATCTCCGCTGAAGTGTGCGGCAGCCCCGCCCCGTACCCATTAATCCTGCTCCGATCGGCGGATAGCCAATCAGCGGGCGGTGCCGGCGGCGGACAGCCAATCCCCGGCGGCGGCGGCGCCGAGATCAGCTGATCAGCGTGCCCTCGGGCGTAACTGGGTCACGTGACTTGAACGAGGGAGTATGTCATGCTGGCCGGTTTGAAAGGAATTCGAATAGAGTGCGATGTTCGCGATAGGAGATATCGGAACTCACGCTTCTGGTCAGAAGCAACATATCGGAGAACCCATTCCAATGTATTTCGATTGTACTTGATTCAGTGTTGCTTTCTTTGGGCAATGTTGAAACCCCTAGATTTCTGGACATAGGCGGTGGAACGGCCTATGTCCCTTTGATTCCCCCTTTGATTTTGGCATTTTAACATTAGCCCTATGGGCGTTGCATGGAAGGAATGGGACCAAAAGTCGGCAGTGCCCCCCCCCCCCCCTTAACCCTCGCCCGTAAACGGTGTTTTGCCACCTTCGCCCATGCAGGGGGGGGGGGGTTGGTGCGACCCCCCCTGGCGTTTGAAAACGGAGCGTCGTAGAGCTTAGCGGAAAAGACCAACGGATTGCTCTTAACGAGATCTCGCGATTGGTGGTATATATTTTGGTCCTAGGTCAACATTTGACCTACTTATGACCGGTCAAAGGTCAAATTTTCGGAAAAATCTAACTTTTTCAGATTTCCGCGCCGATTGCGGCAAAACGGTATGAGATATCGACTTGAAACCTTCACTATCGTGTTCCCTGATCAATTCTCTATCGTTTGGTGTGTATTTCGATGTCATAACTCAAATGATGCGTTGGGAGCATCGGAAGTCTGCAAGGTCATTTGTGCATTGGGTCACGTCAGGCGTGTGACGTCACTGACCTGACCCTGACCCAAAATGAACTACAAGAAACAACCGGCGATGCCTGAAATGGATAGCAAATTCGAATTCAGGGCATCAAAATACCCCGAAAAGGTATACAAGTGCAAGAAGTCATTACAGGTCAACCGAGGTCACTGATCTTACCTTGACCTTTAGTGACCTTCAAAATGTCAACGAACATTGTGCCAATGTCAAATCAGCCAGTTGTGATTCTAAAACAATCCATCAGTGTGTCAGGTCAGTCGGCATTTATACCAATGTGAAGCAATCTCCAATTTAGCGTAAATCTGGCCGGAGGTTGTTCGCTTTATGACGTCATAACTCCGTGACCTGACATGACCTTGACAAAAATTTTACCAAAAGTTGCGCAAAGGATGCCCCAAAGGGTACTGAAAATTTTAGCAGGCTATCTGAAACGGTTCGGCGTGCAGCTAAGAAAAACCTCAGGGGGGGGGTTGCACCAACCCCCCCCCCTACATGGGCGAGGGTTAATTAAAGGTGTTCTGCTGCTACTGCTTCTGGAGGCCCTCAAATGTGTAGCGGCCCACATCTTACTCGTTTCAAAATGCCCATCACAATGTGTGTCATGAACTTGGGCACGATAGTTCAACCGATAGGTAATTTATCAAACGCTCTCTTGGATTGCTTTTTCAGACACTTGCTAAGACATTGGCGGGGGCACTAGATGACATTCGACGTCATTTGATCTTTCTACTGCATTGATAAGTTATTGCAAATTACGCACTTGCAATTACGGTCCGATTGAAATTACCTGCTACCATTTCATTAACATTTTTCATTTTCTCACGAACTGTGATCCCTGGCCATCTGCCTGTTTTGGCTTTCAATGTCTTTCGTTAAAAATCGAAATAGCAATGTGTGACGCTTTGAAGAGATCGTTTATAGTTGCTGCCCGAATCGTGTGCTCATCTTCGTGAATAAAACTATTCGAAGCTGAACAATCTGAAGATCATTGTTGTCATCTATCGTTCGCCATCCGCTCGCCACACTGCTCGGACTTCTGCCTTCTGTTGGCAGAGAGCATCTCGGCCCTGCCGCCGCCGGGGCGGCCTCAGCTTCTCTTGCTGGGGACGCCACCCCCGCCACCGGCCCTGTCCGAGGGCGCTGCCAGCCTGCACGTCTGCACACAGTGCGGCGCACGGTTCCGTAACGAAGGCTCGCTGCAACATCACGTCAAAGTGCACCAGGGACGCACTGTGTGCCCCGTGTGTCATGTCACCTACAACCGCGTGGCCTACCTGCGGACCCACATGGTCAGTCAGCACGGCATGTCTGTAGATGAGGCGAGGCAGCTGCTGACTGCCATGCACTCGCAGACCGTCCCAGCGCAGCCTTCCTGGATCGAGGGCAGGACGGAGGACGACGGAGGCGGCGTTTGATGTGCGGTAGTGACGGGCGCTTCTCGCGAGGGTGTGCAGAGGCTTGTCAGGGAACTTTGGAAGGGTGGTCTGGATTCAGGAGTGGCGATAGTTTGCTGATTATCGAGGGGTCTGTAATACCCGACCAAAGATTGTGAGTTGACCGTTGTTTTAGTTTTTAATGCACGGATGTATCATCGGCTTCAGCCGTTACCGGTAAGGTGGATGTAAAACCCGCTTTGGACTCAGGGCTCAGGAACAGCGAGGTAGCTAATGAGTGATCGTTTGGATGAGCTCTTTCATTCGTATGTTTTCTCAGAAATGGAAACCTTTTTAATGTTTTCTGTAATGAGAAACCCTTTGAATGTTTTCTAATTTCTGTAAGGATAAACTACTTTTACCGTCAGTGTTAATATCGCAACATGTTTCGTTTTTTTCGAATTGTACATGATCATACCAACATATGTTATTCGATTTCATCGTCATTGATATTTATCGTCATCATTTTTATTTGTCACGATATATTTGATGATTTACTTGCTGATGTTTATCGACTTTAGCCTCATGTTTGAAAATACTTTTTTTAAAACACCGTTATGCGTTTTACTGCCAGGATAATTGTGTTTCTTATATCTTCCGGCTTGGATACGACATTTGCCACAACTTATGTTTGTTGGCTTCACGACCTGAAGAAACAATACATGTTCTTTCACATAGGCGATGTTTGCATCATGTTAGAAACTACCACTAGTTGAATGAATGGGACTTGCATTCTTTCAAGGGGCCTCTAGCTTCATTTCACTGCTGAGTAATAATGCATTTCCTAAATAGAGGCTGACTTGAGATTCTTGCTGTCGCTGAACAAAGCGACAATCACTGGAATCAAAAGGAGGATGCTGGTGTTGTTTGAGTTTTTTCGAGATCCCCGTAAAGGCTCACGGAACCAGCATTCCATTTTGTCTTCGTAAGAGTGATTTGCTGTGGCCTTTCCAGAGACTTGCAGCTGTAACGATTGAAATAGTAAAACATGTAGGACGTAGGTAATCAACACATGTCATCATAGTGGGCAATCCTTATCGCTTCGCTCATTCCCTCTGTTTTGGATATTACCACCGCAGTGCATTGTTTATAGGTTTGATTTCGATCGACACCATGTCCTCCGTGGGTTTACGATGTCATATTATTCCCCTGACCTTGTCCACCCACTCCTGTGAGTCAGCCTGACGGACGGGGCGGAAAACAATGCGGCGACCTCCCCACGTACCGGAACTGCCGGGCATGGCTGTCGTCACTGGGCGGCACTGTAAAACTCGTGTTATTGTTTGGATTGCGGTGGTCGGCGCGGGACCAGGACCATGTCCACCGCCGTTCCCCGTCTCGCCTAGCATTCCGTGAAGCGTCACGTCAGCAGGCATTGTTAGGTTCAGCCTGATGATGCTGTCACGCTTTTGTCCAAATAGAGTGGTGTTTCCGTCCAGAAGTCCTCAAGATGCCATTCAATTGAAGCAATGTGACTCAAGTAGATACTGTGATCGAACATTGCAGAGATATGGAAATTTGTAACTTTTGTCTTTTGAATCGTTGCTGGTTACTCCGTGTGTTTTATCGTGGAATGTTTTGTTCTTGGCGCAACTAAAATTTCTTTTGGCTTTGACGTAAGGTTATACCAAAATCCAAATAGACACGTCCTGATTGGCGTCAGAAGTTTCAAGTTTCCCACCAGGATGCTATACACCCCGCCCCTTGCTCTTATCCAGCAAAAAATATACACACCCTCATCGGAGTTCCTTTTTGGCATTCCCTAACTACAAATCAATTTCAGCGTCACGCCTGGTGTCCATTGTTCCCCAGTTGGCTGCGGCACCCACAGACGGACGGTTTTTCTGTGCCTTTCCAGGAGAGTCCTGCTCCGATGACGAGACCGACGTATCGAAACCGTACGTGTGCGACGAATGCGGTAAGCGGTTCATGCGATACAATTCACGAGAGAAGCACAAGAAGGTGCATCTGGGCGAAACTTTGTGCCTGGGCTGTGGGCACATCTACTCGTCCAAGTATGCGTTGGCCATGCATCAGAAGAGCCAGAGGTGCAGCGAAAGCTGGAAAGCAAACTGATTTCATCGGGCAAAACAGCACTGACATACGCTACTCTCTTCGTCTTTAGATGCATGAATGCAGGGCTACAAAGCTGCTATTTCATAATTTGTTAGTCTCTGTTGGCTTCCCTGTGACAAGTTTTTTTTCATTGAGTTCTTCGGTGATGATGATGACACAATCTTGTCATTAGACGTGTTTTTAAGTAATTCTTGGCTGAAACATTTACGTTGAATGCCGTTGTTTGATACTTCAAATGGCGTTTAAAGTTCAAGCTTCATTATAGCATGTAGGCCTTCATCATGGGTCAATGCTCATGTCATAATGTGTGCGTGTGTGTGTATACCGTCCGATACCAATATATTAGGAAATAAAGCAAGGAAATTTTCTGTTTATTTAGTAGGCGACTCAATAGAAGTCGTCAACTCATCGACGACTCATCTCCAGCTGACGGCGCCGCTCAGAACGGCAGTTGTTCTTCATTTTTTAGCATTACCTAATACCTATCCTGTGCACTGACTACGTCTCCCTCCCCATCCTATTCAGTAATGTTTTGTGCAATGTTTGCCGCGATATTTTGCTTGTTAGACTGCCACGGAATAGGTATAGATACGTACCTACACAGTACACACGCAGCAGACACCTATAGCATGTAGTGCGGTACAGCATAGGAAGGCAGGCGTTTGTTCTATTCACCGCGCGCGGATATGATCGGGAGACTGCAGTAGAGAGCTAAGACGGTATCACCAGCAGCTCGGTGACTTTAACACTGCATGGGAACTAGCACCGAATCAGGACTGCTCGCGATGAGCAGTCTTGGCAGCTGCCAGCTTGGTCGGCTTTTTATGGGACTATAGGATAATATGTATCATGTATAAATAGGAATATACAACTGTAGGAATATGTGAGCTTATGGGAAACATTACAAATGCTTGTGCTACGTATTCCGTGCTGCTTGCGATGTTTGTTACCTGATACAATCGCTGTTCTCATTCAAACGCGATATATAAATAATGTTTATTACACACAAAACATTCCAGCAGACATTTGCCAGGGGATTGGGATCGTTACAAAAGTCGTTGAATTTTATCAGTCCTGCCGGTTTAAGGCACATATTTATCCAACAATCAAACCAGAAAACCACCCGTAACAATAACAACAGCGTAATAACCAACGGCTCGTAACAGCGAATTAGCATAACAAGTGCTCTGAATAAAGAATAACTTAACTACATTGCATAACTTAGAACAGCGACACGCACAATAACAACGCTACAAGAAAACAATGGTACCTAAATACCTACCGATGGCAACCCTCCCTTATATAGGTAGGTACTGTTGCAGACCTGCGATTAGTAACAAATCTACTCGGTTTGGTTAGTAGTTGCTGGCTAACCCATTCACTATTTCCACCTGAGAACATCTCTCTACACCTTAGCTCTGAGTATTATCGCTCCAGTTTCCAACATTACCTCACAAACACAAAAAGAAACTAACAGACCGCGTGAAAGACACGTGAAAGTCGCGCCTGTATAAGTCGATAAAGGCTAAAGGTCAAAGACCTGATATGTGCCACTGTTTCAGATTAGAAGTATTATCTTAGTAACGACGATGTCTAGAATCTATAGATGACATAGTTGATAGCTCCAAATAGGAACTTAGTTACATACTGGTCACATACAATACTGAAAGATGCCGACAAAAGTGACAAGATGAAAGAACACACCAAACAGATTTTCGTTTGTGTCCACATCTCGCATTCGCCAGTCATAACTTGCATCATACCCAGCTTAACCCTATTCCTGGCGGGGGGGCCTCAGGAGCCCCCCCCCTGAGGTTTTTTGGTTCTTTCTCCCAAACGCGTTGAGCTAGGAAGCTCAAATTTTCTGACTTTTCCTAAAAGGCTTCTACGCAACATGTCTTAAAATTTTGAGTTGATCTGACCTCAGGTCAGGTCACCAGAGGCGGTTTGGTGACCCTACCTCAGAAAAGTTTGCAATCACGCCAGAGCTAGAGTTTTTGACCGATCAATTTCTTCTCTTCAGGCTTTAGTGAGGGTACCAGTATGTGCAATTTGTATATCTCGGAATTTTGATATCGGTGACCTAAGGTCAGGTCAGTTTCGCGACCTCCCCATTATAAGTCAATGGGGGAAAAATCAACTCCCTGTTTTTACCACTAAAACGGGTCGGAATGGCCCCATATACCATACCTGACTTCATATACGATCAACCTTCACTACCTTGAGGTCTGTTTTGCTGTTGGGCAGCTGTGAGGTCATGTGACGTCATCAAAGGTCACCAAAGGTTTTTGGCCAATAACTCCGTACAGGAACAAGATACAGACGCGTGGATGGTCTCATTGTGTTCAGCTCGTCAAGACGCATCGAATGATATACATGATGACCTCGAGGTCACGTGACCTGAGGTCAACCTTTGACCTTGACCTTTCGAGGTCAACATATATATCATTCGATGCGGATTGACGAGAGGATCACGATGATGCCCTTAGTTTGTTCCTATCTTGACTAATTCGAAAGTTATTCGAGAAAAACTCTCTCCATATCTAGCGCCGCCATTTTGACTTTTTCGACCCCTGTAACGTCATCTTTGACCTGACCTGAAAATGACCTTTGTAAAAATTGTAGATCTTGACCGTGCGTATCCGATGCCGTTTACCGCTTGTCGCTATCTTGCTTCGTTCTCGAGATCTCAGGGGGGGGGGCCGAATCGGCCCCCCCCCCCCCGCCAGTTTCTTGTCCCGGCGGAGCCCGCCAGGAATAGGGTTAAGCGCGGGTGCAAATCTCCATTTCTGCTTACATGCGCACTCTCGGAATCCACTCGCTGAGAGGGTCCTACCTCGCCGTCTGCACTCCGACAGAGAATCTCTCCTTATTACCCATCACCCCTCCCCTCCTCGCTCAGGACGTCCCCCTCTGTCCCTACGCGGCCAGCAGCTGGCTGACGATGCTTCCCACCATGCCGGAGCATGTGCCGCCGATTCCGAGCGCGCAGGCGGCCAGACAGCTCTCCGGCGGAGTGGCGGAGTTGGTGGCAAAGTACTGAATGCACAGACCACATCCGCCCACCGAGCCGACGCAGCCGAAAATATCGGACAGCGATACACGCAGCACCTCTTGTTTGGTGAGCACCGGTCCTCCGCCGTACTCGCGCCTCGGTGGGATCACCTGCGGTACCAGGCCGGTCGGATGCGTGGGCTGTTGCGGCATGGCTGTGTAGCCCTGGTACACATCTGGCGAGTCCCGGCGCGGGTACGGCGCGCTCGTGTGATGCACCTCGTACGTCTGAGACGCCTCCTGATGCTGAGTGGAGACCGTCGGGGACGCTGACGGCACCGGCTCGGCGTCGTAGCCTCCAGCACGGTTCACACCGGCTAGGAACTGTCCGGAGCGCACCCGTTTGGAACCGAACTCTCCCAGCTGGTTGGCAGAGGTGGCGTACCCGGCGCGGCCGCTACGGTAGCGGCGCGGGAGGGCTGAACGTCGCCCAGTCATGGCAGCAGGGTAGAAGGCCGAGGTCGAGCGCCGGGATCGGCTCAGGATGCTGTGTGCGTCGGCGTCGGTGAGGAATGTGTGCTGGAGATGCAGACAGGTGTCGCCACTTTCGCCGCGACAATGCAGCTCGCTGGTCACGTTGACACACTCCACAGAGAGTTGGTAAGGTGCAGAGCCGTACATGAGCAGCATACGCGGCGCGGTAGCCACGGCGAACTCCCTGTGGAACCTCCGGCCGGCCACGGTGTCGATTCCGGTGAGGAAGAGTCGTCCACTACCGCACTCGGCACCTCCACTCAGCTGAGGGACCAGCATAGAGGGCAGCACGTACTGTACGCTAGGGGGCAGGAGCTGGTCGCCTCGCAGGCCGGCCACGGGCACCCACTCTCCAGCCCTCGGGGCCACCGCGGCGCTGCCTGCCGGCCGGTGCAACAGCACATCCACGAAGCTGCTGACCCTGTTCCTCTGTCGGTCAAACTCGAGCGGTCCGGTCACACCACGGTCCTCCCCTCGCGCGGCGGCAATAGCGTCCAGCGCCAGAGCTACATCAGCCGCGTCCGAGCCCTCCGGGGCGTGAGGGAGCTGCGCGGAGGACTCCACGCCGGTCTGTGAGGTGTAGAGACGCGCTCCGGCCAACAGACGACGCTCCTCTTCAGTGAGAGGTTCGGCGGTCAGACCGGGCACGAACCACTGCTCAGCGCGAATACCGGCACTCTCCAGGCGACGCAGCGCCGCTGACAGCGCGGAACGGTTCTGTACCACAGCGATACTGCCAGCAGAGTCCGCCAGACCTGCCCGGCTGATCTTCTGGGTCATATCCACCGCAGGCACGCCGCGGGCGGCCAGCTCTGAGACCAGCGTGCCGTCGCGGTCTCCATCAGCCAGCAGCACCCGACGCAGCTGGAGCTGGGTGACCAGCGCGGCCAGCGCGCGCCACTGGGAGCGGGCTGGCAGCTGCAGTGAGTGACAGCCCCGCTGTCCCGCCGGACACGACTGTCCGGCCGTCACCAGGACATCCCCGCCGGCGGCCTGTGTCCGCTCACACAGGCTCACCAGGCGCCGGACGCCGACAAACCGCAGACCGTCGGCCTGCAGAGCACAGCTGGGCGCGCGGTGGAAGATGACGTTGGGTACAGAGCGGGCCAGCAGCTCGGCTAGCAGTTGCCCGTGCTCTGTGTCGAACAGGATACCGACCGGAGCGCCATCTGGAACACAGAGAGGCATCGATCAGCTGACTGCTGCGTCTGGCTGCCTGCGTTATGCTCGTCATAATCAGAGACATTTGTAATCGAGGCCGTCAAATCGCTACTGCTGCTATATGAGTTCTACATATTGTATACCGTGTTAAGGCCGCCCCACACTGGAACTCGCATGCGGGTTGCGAGCTTGCGGGTTTTGAGTTTGCGGGCTAAATACTAATTCATAGAGTGATTAGGCCGTTCCCTTATGGTAACTTCATGAATGCAGTGAAGCCGGTACACTTTCAGAAACTTACATATAGCCGCAACACCAGCGCAACGAACCAAAATTCGACTTCAACGAAAAACCCGCAAACCTCGCAGAACTCGCAGACCTCGCTGCGAGGAAAATCGAAAGTTGACTCAAATTCAACTTTTGGAATGCGATGCAAGGTCGCTCGCAAGCTAAAAACATGCAGACTCGCTTGTTAGATGATAGTGTGGGACACTCAGCTTAGATTGTATTATTTGATTTTGAGAAAACCGCAAAACCCAAAAACTCGCAACCCGCATGCGAGGTCCAGTGTGGGGCGGCCTTTAAAGACTGACGTATTCCTCAAGCTGGCACGTAATTGGAACGATGGCGTTATAAAACACGGGATCTTACTCCCAAAACGTGCCCGGACTTTAATCGCTGGGTATTTGCCATGGTAAAACCCATCCATTTGTCAAGTCCAACTGCTGCTATGAATCCCTTCTATTTTGGTCACGTTTAATTTCACTGGGACTGGCCCTTAGCTCTTCAAAACCTCTCAGGGAACCTCTGAAGGGGTGGGGGGTGGGGTATTTAACGCTCCCTTCTCTCGAACCAATCAGACTCTCAGGCCACTAGGGCTCTCAGGCCTCCGAAACAACTTTCCTCGCTGTTACAACATAACTCAGTTATTTCCGTCAGCTGTTTCTCCAGCCATGTCCGTCAGGGACCCGTTATGCGCTGAGCGACTGAACCATATCCCATCGTTCAGTCATCTGTCCTCAGTCCGCACACCTGTTGTGTCCGTCAGTCGGTCAGTCACCGAACCTTACATATAGCGTCTACCAGCACTCGTCAATCGTCATTTGGTGAAACGGTTTCATTTCGCCTATTTGCTGGGTGACCAGATGTGTTATGTTATGATACGTTATGATGAGATACGTTATGAGCTCTGTCCATCAGAATGCCATGTTAAGATGTGTGTGGTTCATTTATAAATAGTGTTTCCTTCCATGCTGTTGCGTAACTGATAACCCACAGAGAAAGTTTGTGGAGCAGCTGCACGGAGAAAATTTGCACCTGTGAGGTGTTGTGTCTGAACGGTTATTACCTACCAGCCTTTCTCTCTGACTGGGTTTGATTGATAACTAGACGTTCAACTAATAGGTCATTATATACTAATTATACCTATACTGCCGTTATATGCTGTCATTCTGTCATTGTTTACTCTCACTGATAGATGTGATGTAAACAAAAGTTTAGAATACGGCCAACCATAGATAAAAATATCGTTTCGTACATGTACGAAACGATATTTTTTTTATAAACGAGCATGTATGCTAAATGGTACTTCCTACGCTTGGACAAAAGTAATTTTCGCCCGCACCTTTAATATAACCTCACGTTTTGCATACCATGCATTCCTATTGCCCACTGCCCAGATGCAGGCAGGCATAGCGCAATACTTCGACTGAATTATACATAATCCCCTCAGTTCATGCTTGTGGCGGCTTATCTATATTATAAATCCTAAATAATCCGCCGCCGCCGCCGCCGTGTGCGACGTAGTCACTTTGTAGCGCTTATTGCGGCGGCGTCTGTTGACCTACGGCCGTGAAATTTTACAGCGATGTGGGCCACCTTTACACGTAGGTCGTATTAAATTTTGGACATGATGCGGCCGAGGGTGCGCCCGCGGCGCGTGCTCGCGTGCCCATAGGGTTAACATTAGAATAGGCAAAAACACGCTATTGCTCGGGAACGGTAAGGGCTACGGGGGTGAAATTTTCACTGCAAGTCGGACGCGTGCACTCATTTGTCGTATTAAATTTTCGAGGGGGTGGGTTCAGCGGTGTGCACGTGGTGGGGCCGCGACCAGCGCCGAGCAGAGGGCACGTGCTTTAGGCTCAGTTGTTCGCTTAAAAAACTGAGTGGGCCGGCAGGTCATTGACCTTTGACAACGAAGGCCGACACAAGGCACCGCTCGCCAAGAGGATTCGCCAGTAAATACAATTAATTTGTTTTTGCAATATCTCAGCCGTTTCTGGGCCGATTTAGCTGAAACTTGGACTGTCGGTGGTAGGGTAGGGTAGGGTAGGGTAGGGTAGGGTAGGGTAGGGTAGGGTAGGGTAGGGTAGGGTAGGGTAGGGTAGGGTAGGGTAGGGTAGGGTAGGGTAGGGTAGGGTAGGGTAGGGTAGGGTAGGGTAGGGTAGGGTAGGGTAGGGTAGGGTAGGGTAGGGTAGGGTAGGGTAGGGTAGGGTAGGGTAGGGTTGGGTAGGGGATCGTAGGGTAGGGTAGGGTAGGGTAGGGTAGGGAATTGTAGGGTAGGGGTAGGGTAGGGTAGGGTAGGGTAGGGTAGTGTAGAGGTAGGGTGGGGTAGGGTAGGGTAGGGTAGGGTAGGTTAGGGTAGTGTAGAGTAGGGGTAGGGTAGGGTAGGGTGAGGGTAGGGTAGGGTAGTGTAAGGGTAGGGTAGGGTATGGTAGGGTAGGTTAGGTTAGGGTAGGGTAAGGTAGGGTATGGTAGGGTAGGGTAGGGTAGGGTAGGGTAAGTTAGGAGTAGGGTAGGGTAGGGGTAGGGTAAGGTAGGGTAGTGTAAGGGGGAAGGGTAGGGTAGTGTAACGGTAGGGTAGGGTAGGGTAGGGTAGGGTAGGGTGGGGTAGTGTAAGGGTAGGGTAGGGTAGGGTAGGGTAGGGTAGGGTAGGGTAGGGTAGGGTAGGGTATAGGTAGTGTAAGGGTAGGGTAGGGTAGGGTAGGGTAGGGTAGTGTAAAGGTAGGGTAGGGTAGGGTAGGGTAGGGTAGGGTAGGGTAGGGTAGGGTAGTGTAGGAGTAGGGTAGGGTAGGGTAGGGTAGGGTAGGATAGGGTAGGGTAGGGGTAGGGTAGGGTAGGGTAGGGTTGGGTAGGGTAGGGTTGCGTTCAGTAACATCCTAACTTACAAAGGGCTCGAACAACTCGCATGCATCACCATCATACTTTACAGTTCAATTAAAAGCAGTTACCCAGTTCTACAAAAATCATACCAATAAAAATGCAAGTTTCTACACCCAAACTAATGCATCCGTTATTCATACATATCAAAACATACAGTTATCGCGTAAACCTGTACCTCTAGTCTATATTATAAATCCTAAATAATCCGCCGCCGCCGCCGCCGTGTGCGACGTAGTCACTTTGTAGCGCTTATTGCGGCGGCGTCTGTTGACCTACGGCCGTGAAATTTTACAGCGATGTGGGCCACCTTTACACGTAGGTCGTATTAAATTTTGGACATGATGCGGCCGAGGGTGCGCCCGCGGCGCGTGCTCGCGTGCCCATAGGGTTAACATTAGAATAGGCAAAAACACGCTATTGCTCGGGAACGGTAAGGGCTACGGGGGTGAAATTTTCACTGCAAGTCGGACGCGTGCACTCATTTGTCGTATTAAATTTTCGAGGGGGTGGGTTCAGCGGTGTGCACGTGGTGGGGCCGCGACCAGCGCCGAGCAGAGGGCACGTGCTTTAGGCTCAGTTGTTCGCTTAAAAAACTGAGTGGGCCGGCAGGTCATTGACCTTTGACAACGAAGGCCGACACAAGGCACCGCTCGCCAAGAGGATTCGCCAGTAAATACAATTAATTTGTTTTTGCAATATCTCAGCCGTTTCTGGGCCGATTTAGCTGAAACTTGGACTGTCGGTGGTAGGGTAGGGTAGGGTAGGGTAGGGTAGGGTAGGGTAGGGTAGGGTAGGGTAGGGTAGGGTAGGGTAGGGTAGGGTAGGGTAGGGTAGGGTAGGGTAGGGTAGGGTAGGGTAGGGTAGGGTAGGGTAGGGTAGGGTAGGGTAGGGTAGGGTAGGGTAGGGTAGGGTAGGGTAGGGTAGGGTTGGGTAGGGGATCGTAGGGTAGGGTAGGGTAGGGTAGGGTAGGGAATTGTAGGGTAGGGGTAGGGTAGGGTAGGGTAGGGTAGGGTAGTGTAGAGGTAGGGTGGGGTAGGGTAGGGTAGGGTAGGGTAGGTTAGGGTAGTGTAGAGTAGGGGTAGGGTAGGGTAGGGTGAGGGTAGGGTAGGGTAGTGTAAGGGTAGGGTAGGGTATGGTAGGGTAGGTTAGGTTAGGGTAGGGTAAGGTAGGGTATGGTAGGGTAGGGTAGGGTAGGGTAGGGTAAGTTAGGAGTAGGGTAGGGTAGGGGTAGGGTAAGGTAGGGTAGTGTAAGGGGGAAGGGTAGGGTAGTGTAACGGTAGGGTAGGGTAGGGTAGGGTAGGGTAGGGTAGGGTAGTGTAGGGGTAGGGTAGGGTAGGGTACAGTAGGGTAGGGGTAGGGGTAGGGTAGGGTAGGGTAGGGTAGTGTAAGGGCAGGATAGGGTAGGGTAGGGTATGGTAAGGTAGGGTAGTGTAGGGGTAGAGGTAGGGTAGGGGTAGGGTAGGGGTAGGGTAGGGGTAGGGTAGGGGTAGGGTAGGGGTAGGGTAGGGGTAGGGTAGGGTAGGTTAGGGGTAGGGGTAGGGTAGGGTAGGGTAGGGTTAAAATTGAGTAACATCCTAACTTATTAAGGGCTCGAACAACTCGCATGCATCACCATCATATAGTTCAATTAAAAGCAGTTACCCAGTTCTACACAAATAATACCAATAAAAATGCAAGTTTCTACACCCAAACTAATGCATCCGTTTATCATACATATCAAAACATACAGTTATCGCGTAAACCTGTACCTCTAGTCTATATTATAAATCCTAAATAATCCGCCGCCGCCCACGCCGTGTGCGACGTAGTCACTTTGTAGCGCTTATTGCAGCGGCGTCTGTTGACC